TTTCCACAGTTTGGCTATTGCAGACATTGCTGCTATGAACATTGGGGTGCATATGGCCCTTCTTTTCACTACATCTGTGTCTTTGGGGTAAATACCCAGTAGTGCAATTGCTGGGTCATAGGGTAGCTCTATTTTTAATTTTTTGAGGAACCTCCACACTGTTTTCCAAAGTGGCTGTACCAACTTCCATTCCCACCAACAGTGTAAGAGGGTTCCCCTTTCTCCACAAACTCTCCAACATTTGTTGTTTCTTGCCTTGTCAATTTTTGCCATTCTCTCTGGTGTAAGGTGGTATCTCAACGTGGTTTTGATTTGAATTTCCCTGATGGCTAATGATGATGAACATTTTTTCATGTGTCTGTTAGCCATTTGTATGTCTTCTTTGGAGAAGTGTCTGTTCATGTCTTCTGCCCATTTTTTGACTTATTTGTTTTTTGGGTGTTGAGTTTGAGAAGTTCTTTATAGATCTTGGATACCAGCCCTTTATCTGTAGTGTCATTTGCAAATATCTTCTCCCATTCTGTGGGTTGCCTCTTCATTTTGTTGACTGTTTCCTTTGCTGTGCAGAAGCTTTTTATCTTGATCAAGTCCCAAAAGTTCATTTTTGCTTTTGTTTCACTAGCCTTTGGAGATGAATCTTGAAAGAAGTTGCTGTGGCCGATGCCAAAGAGGTTACTGTCTATGTTCTTCTCTAGGATTTTGATGGATTCCTGTCTCACATTGAGGTCTTTCATCCATTTTGAGTTTATCTTTGTGTATACTGTTAAAGAATGGTCGAGTTTCATTTTTCTGTATATAGCTGTCCAATTTTCCCAGCACCATTTATTGAAGAGACTGTCTCTTTTCCATTGCATATTTTTTCCTGCTTTGTTGAAGATTATTTGACCATAGAGTTGAGGGTCCATATCTGGGCTCTCTAGTCTGTTCCATTGGTTTATATGTCTGTTTTTGTGCCAGTACCATGCTGTCTTGGTGATCACAGCTTTGTAGTATAGCTTGAAATCAGGCAGCGTGATGCCCCCAGCTTTGTTTTTCTTTTTCAACATTTCCTTGGTGATTCGGGGTCTTTTCTGATTCCATACAAATTTTAGGATTGTTTGTTCCAGCTCTTTGAAAAATGCCATTGGTATTTTGATCGGGATGGTGTTGAAGGTATAGATTGCTCTGGGTAACATAGACATTTTAACAATGTTTAATCTTCCGATCCGTGAGCATGGGATGTTTTTCCATCTTTTTGTGTCTTCTTCAATTTCTTTCATGAGTGTTCTGTAGTTCCTAGAGTATAGATCCTTTACCTCTTTGGTTAGGTTTATTCCGAGGTATCTTAATAGACAAGAAGGAAAAAGAGGAGGCCAAGGAAAAACAACTCAAAATACATGAAAATAGAACCAGAGAAATAAGTGACACCATGAAACGTTCCAATGTCAGAATTATTGGGATCTCTGAGGGGGTGGAGAGAGAGAGAAGACGAAGATATATTTGAGCAAATCGTAGCTGAGAACTGCCCTAATCTGGGGAATGAAACAAACATTCATGTCCTAGAGGCAGAAAGGACCCCTCCCAAGATCAAGGAAAACAGGCCAACGCCCCGGCATGTAATAGTAAAACTCGCAATTCTTAGAACCAAGAAAACCATCTTAAGGGCAGTTAGAGGGAAGAGATTCCTTATGTACAGAGGGAGGAACAACAGAATAACGTCAGACCTATCCACAGAGACCTGGCAAGCCAGAAAGGGCTGGCAAGACATATTCAGAGTACTAAACAAGAAGAACATGCAGCCAAGAATACTTTATCTGGCAAGGCTTTCATCTAGAATGGATGGAGAGATGTAGAGTTTCCAAGACCAGCAGAAACTGAAAGAATATGTGACCACTAAGCCAGCCCTGCAAGAAATATTAAGGGGGCTTCTATAAAAAGAGAAAGACCCCAAGAGTGATATAGAACAGAAATTTACAGGGACAATCTATAAAAACAAGGTCTTCACAGGCAGCATGATGACAATAAATTCATATCTTTCAATAATCACTCTCAATGTGAACGGCCTAAATGCTCCCATAAAACAGCAAGGGTTGCAGATTGGATAAAAAGACAGGACCCTTCCATATGCTGTCTACAAGAGACTAATTTTGAGCCTAAAGATACATCCAGACTGAAAGTGAAGGGAGGGAGATCCATCTTCCATGCCAACGGACCTCAAAAGAAAGCTGGGGTAGCAATTCTTATATCAGACAAATTAGATTTTAAACTAAAGACTGTAGTTAGAAACGCAGAAGGACACTATATCATTCTTAAAGGGTCTCTCCAACAAGAAGATCTAACAATTGTAAATATCGATGCCCCCAACATGGGAGCAGCCATCTACATAAGCCAACTGTTAACCAAAATAGTCATATTGATAACAATACATTAATTGTAGGAGACCTCAATACTCTACTCTCAGCAATAGACAGATCATCTAAGCGGAAAATCAACAAAGAAAACAGAGCTTTGAATGACACACTGGACCAGATGGGCCTCATAGATATATACAGAACATTCCACCCTAAAACAACAGAATTCTCATTCTTCTCAAGTTTACATGGAACTTTCTCCAGAATAGACCACATACTGGGTCACAAATGAGGTCTCAACTGATACCAAAAGATTGAGATTATTCCCTGCATATTCTCAGACCATAATGCTTTAAAACTGGAACTCAATCACAAGAAAAAATTTGGAAGAAATTCAAACACTTGGAAGCTAAAGACCACTCTGCTCAAGAATGTTTGGGTCAGGGTGCCTGGGTGGCTCAGTCGTTAAGCATCTGCCTTTGGCTCAGGTCATGATCCCAGGGTCCTGGGATCGAGCCCTGCATCAGGCTCCCTGCTCCGTGGGAAGCCTGCTTCTCCCTCTCCCACTCCCCCTGCTTGTGTTCCCTCTCTCGCTGTGTCTCTCTCTGCCAAATAAATAAAATCTTTAAAAAAAAAAAAAAAAGAATGTTTGGGTCAACCAGGAAATCAAAGAAGAACTTAAACAATTCATGGAAACCAATGAGAATGAAAACATATCGGTTCAAAACCTATAGGATACTGCAAAGGTGGTCCTAAGGGGGAAATACATAGCCATCCAAGCCTCACTCAAAAAAGTAGAAAAAGGGCGCCTGGGTGGCTCAGTTGGTTAAGCGACTGCCTTCGGCTCAGGTCATGATCCTGGAGTCCCTGGATCGAGTCCCACATCAGGCTCCCTGCTAGGCAGGGAGTCTGCTTTGCCCTCTGACCCTATCCCCTCTCATGTGTTCTCTCTCATTCTCTCTCTCTCAAATAAATAAATAAATAAATCTTTAAAAAAAAAAGGGTAGAAAAATCCTGAATTCACCAACTAACTACACCTTAAAGAACTAGAGAAAAAGCAACAAATGATACCTAAGTCACACATTAGAAGAGAAATAATTAAGATTAGAGCAGAGATCAATGAATTAGAAACCAGAAACAGAGTAGATCAGAGCAACGAAACTAGAAGCTGGTTCTTTGAAAGAATTAATAAGATCAATAAACCAAAATTTTAAAAAAAAGATCAATAAACCACTGGCCAGACTTATCCAAAAGAAAAGAGAAAGGACCCAAATTAATAAAATTATGAATGAAAAGAGAGAGATCACGACTAACACCAAGGAAATAGAAACAATTATTAGAAATTATTATCAACAACTATATGCCAATAAATTGAGCAACCTGGATGAAATGGATGCCTTCCTGGAAACCTATAAACTACCAAGACTGAAACGGGAAGAAATTGACAACCTGAATAGGCCAATAACCAGTAATGAGATTGAAGCAGTGATCAAAAGCCTCCCAAAAAACAAGAGTCCAGGGCCTAACGGATTCCCTGGGGAATTCTACCAAACATTCAAGAAGAAATAATACCTATTCTTCTGAAGCTGTTTCAAAAAATATAAACAGGAGGAAAGCTTCCAGACTCATTCTATGAGGCCAGCATTACCTTAATCTCCAAACCAGGCAAAGTCCCCATCAAAAAGGAGAATTTCAGATCGATATCCCTGATAAATATGGTTTCCAAAATTCTCAACGAAATCCTAGCTAATAGGATCCAACTGTACATTAAAAGGCTCATCCATCACCACCAAGTGGGATTTATCCCCAGGATGCAAGGGTGGTTCAACATTTGCAAATCAATCAATGTGATAGAACACATAAGAGGAGAGAGAAGAACCATATGGTCCTCTCAACTGATGCGGAAAAAGCATTTGACAAAATACAGCATCCTTTCCTGATTAAAACTCTTTAGAGTATAGGGATAGAGGGAACATTCCTCAAGTTCATAAAATCCATCTATGAAAAACCCACAGCAAATATCATTCTCAATGGAGAAAAGCTGAGAGCTTTTCCCTTAAGATCAGGAACACGACAAGGATGCCCACTCTCGCCACTATTGTTCAACATAGTACTAGAAGTCCTAGCAACAGCAATCAGACAACAAAAAGAAATAAAAGGTATTCAAATTGGCAAAGAAGAAGTCACACTCTCTCTCTATACAGATGACATGATACTTTATGTGAAAATCCAAAAGACTCCACCCCCAAATTACTAGAACTCATATAGCAATTCAGTAATGTGGCAGGATACAAAATCAATGCACAGAAATCAGTTACTTTCTTATACACTAACAATGCAACTGTAGAAAGAGAAATTAGAGAAATGATTCCATTTTTTTTTCTTTTTTCAAATTTTTATTTAAATTCTAGTTAGTATACAGTGCAATATTAGTTTCAGGAGTAGAATTCAGTGATTCATCACTTACATACAACACCTGGTGCTCATTACAACAAGTGCCTCCTTAATGCTCATCACCCATCTAGCCCATCCCCACCCACTACCCTCCATCAACCCTGAGTTTGTTCTCTATCGTTAAGTCTCTTATGATTTGCTTCCTTCTATTTATTTCCCCCCTCCCATATGTTCATCTGTTTTGTTTCTTAAATTCCACATATGAGTGAAATCATATGGTATTTGTCTTTCTCTACCTGACTTATTTCACTTAGGGAAGCATGTTTTGGCAGGGTTACATTTTTAAAGAAATCAAAAGGAAATGAGAGAGTGTCTAGCAATTTCAAGGATTGGTCTTGGACTTTTCAGCCTCCAGAACTGTGAGAAAATAAAATGTTTGTTGTTTAAGCCACCTAGTCCATGGTATTTTTGTTATAGCAGCCCAAATGGACTAAGATAATATTCTACAGTACTCAGGTGCCTGAGAGCAAGTTAGAATACTGGCATTGTGTGTTAACTACTTCATTTTTGCAGTAGTCATCAGGGATCTGGACCCTTGAAAAGTCAGAGGTTTATGCTGATCAACTTAAGGAGCTTATCCCATTCCACTCTTATATTCAGGGCAACAGCAATTGCTGAGTGAGAAGATCTCTCCCCAGCACTCTTCTCAGAGCCTTAACTACATCCTTATTCCGTAGAGTATAAATCAAAGGATTCAGCGTGGGTGTAATGATGCTATAGAACACAGAACCAACAAGTGCATCAAGATCATTGTGTGAATTAGAGAGTTTGTGGATGCTCCCAACCACATGACGGCCATCATCAGTCCCACCTTTCTGTTCATGAGAACAGTATAACGAAGTGGATGACAAATGGCAACATAGCAGTCGTAGGACATGAGAGCTAAGAGAAGACAGCACCACCCAGAGACAAATAGAGGAAGTGCTGGGTGGCACAGCCCACAAAGGAGATGGTCTTCTTGCCAGATAGGTAGTTAGTAGCCATCTTCGGGATGGTTGTGGAGACATGCATCAGATCCATGAGGGAGAGCTGGCTGAGCAGGAAGTACATGGGTGTATGAAGCTAGGCATCAGCACAGATGAGGAGAATAGTGAGCATGTTGCCACTCACTGCAATAAGGAAGACCACTCTGGTTAAGGAGAAAAGGAAAAGGTGGATGAGAGAGTCATCAAAGAGGCCTTCAAGGATGAAGTCTGCCAGAGAAGTCTGATTCCTCTGCCACATCTCCCCTTTCTCAGTGTCTGGGGAAAGAGGAAGTAGAGATGAAGTGTGATTTCAGAAAAAACGGAGTTTGGCACACCTGACAGTAAGTACCTTTTGATCTACCAAAGAATTTGTGAAGAGAGTTTTTTTCTATTTCTGATTCTTCAACAGTGCTAATTATTGAAATAACTTAAAAAAAAAAGATCTTCAAATCTCTCTGCACAAACATAACTCTGAAATTCCAGATTATCTAGATTCTATTAAGTGCCAAACTTCAAAACAAGAAACAAGAGTCTCTCTCATTAAGGAAGAAATATATATATAAATACACTAAATTTTATATATATTAGATATATACTACTGTATAAGTATATATGTGTATAATTTTATAAGTACAAATGTATATACCATATACACTTAATGGATTGTTCAGAAATTTGGCCTTACACAATTGTGAAGGCTGGTTAAGCAGTCTATATAAGGCTCTCACCTTTGTGTCTGATAGTGGAACTTGAAGTCCATAGGGCAAGTGGTAAGGAAGGGAAAATGGATATAAAGTGCGTTAGGTCATGGGCAGGCTGGAACCCACAAGCATGAGCTATAATAACCCCACAAAGGCAGACTGAAACCCATGTTAGTTCTTGTTGACTCTGGAATTGGTGGTATGGTTATTTTGCAGAAACTGGGGTCCTTCCTAGTGAAGCTAACCACGCACACCTGACCCAGAAGTCAGAGAAGCTAAAGGAGGATCCAGGGGGGAGGTAGAGCAACCACAGGCCCAGTTGCTACTTCACACCAATGAGATAAGTCAGCAGATCAGCAACAACATATGTAAACTACAGAATGGCTGCTTCCCTTCTGCCCTCTTAATCTCCCTTGGAATCTCTCCTATGGCCTACTTTCTCCAAAAATGCACAAAAATGGAAATTCTGAGAAATGTAGTTCACTCTAGCCAAGCTGACACATTACAAGACCACCAGAGCCCATCCCCTGTTGGTTTGACATTCATACACATCTCCTTAAGCCAACAAACACAAAAGTGTCATCCTTCTGCCTAACATAACTATCCTGCATACAACCAAAAATGTGCGAAATATTCATATAATATTCATATAAAATATAATCGTATACATATTTGTATAAAATATAATATTCATATAAAACAATACCCATTACACAAAGTAAGTCATCCTATCTAAGTGCCAACCCATCCTGTGGACATCAGTTAGCACTCTTTCAGTCACTCCTGTTCATGCCAATGGACTCACAAGCAAAGTGGCCAGAGCAGCAGGGATGGAGGCTACACATGAGCTCAGCAACATGGACCTCCACTCAACAAGACCAGTCTAGCTACAGCCACTACTGGGTGCTCAAGTCAGCCAACAACAGAGACCAACACAGAGTCCCTGATATGGCAGCATTCACCAGGGGAATCAGCCAACTACTTGGTGGCAGACTGGTTTTGATGGACTGCTTCCATTGTGGGAGAGACATTACTTTGTTCTTACTGGAATAGACACTTACTCTGGATATGGTTTTGCTTTCCTTTCCTGCAGTGCCACTGCCACAGCTTACAGGATGCTTTATTCGGCATAATGGTATTCCAAGAAGCATTGCTTCTGACTAGAACTTACTTCACAATACATGAAGTGTGGGATTGGGCCCATGCTCATGGAATCTAATAGTCTGACCACATTCTCCATCATCCTGAAACAACTGGCTTGATAGAATGGTAGAACAGCCTTTTGAAGACTCAGTTACAGCAACAGCTGGTTGACAATACCTCCCATTGCTGGAGCAATGTCTTCCAGAATGTGCTATATGCTCTAAATCTGTAGCTATGGTGCTGTTTCTCCCATCACAAGGGTTCACAGGACCAGGAATCAAGAGGTGGAAATGGGAGTGAGTCCTCTCACTATAATGTCTATAACTATGATCCACCAGCAAAATTTTTGCTTCCTGTCCCTGCACTTTTAGCCTTTGCTGGTTTAGAGGTCTTAGGCCCAAAGGGAGTTCTTCCACCAGGTAACACGACAATGATTCCATTTACTGAGAGTTGCGACTGCCACCCTGCCACTTTGGGCTCCTCATATCACTGAATCAACAAGAAAAGGAGGTCGTTCTACTGGTTTGGTGTGATTGATCCTGACTGGTAAGGAGAAACTGAGTTTCTACTATACCATGGGGATAAGGATGAGCATGTCAGGAATGCAGGATATTTTCTAGGGTACCTCTCTGGACTCAAATGTCCTGTGATAAAAGTCAGCAGAAAGCTACAACAACCCAATTCAGACAGGACTGCTAATGGCCCAGATTCTTCAGGAATGAAGGTTTGGGTCACTCCACAGTCAAGGAACCAGGACCAACTGTGGACAAAGGGAATATGGGATGAAAAGTAAAAGAAGACAGTTATAAACACCTGCCACGACCATGAGAGCAGCTGCAGAAACAAAAAGTGTAATAGTTATAGGCATTTCTTCCTTATTTTGATATGAACATTTTGTATATGTTATATTACCCATATGTTTTGGTTTTCTTCCCCTTGGTCATCCCTTTTTCTAACATCAGATATATTAATAGAGTTAACTTCAATCTCAGTATTTAAATTATAGGATATAAAAGGAGTAGTATAAATGAGATAGAATGAATTTCATATAAAGGTAAAAATGGAATTTTGTGTCCTCTTATGGGGAAATGCTTGGTGTGTTTTATATCCTCTTCTTAGGAAAAAGTTAATATGTTTTTGGTTGTACATGGGTTAGGTGTATCATGTTAGGTGGAAGAGTAACTTGGTATTGCCTTTATTTGGAGATTAAATATGATTTAAAGAGTTGTGTAAACGTGCCAAGTGGACACGTAACAAAGCCACCATATTTATATACCTGAACACAAATAAGAGATACTTCCTGCGTAGACTTGAGAGCCTTCAAATCAGAATGATAAAACTAGGATTATAACATTTAATCCGCCAGATTTTCCAGTCAGCCCTTTATCTAATTCTTATGTGAATACTGATCATAATGATAGCTTGGTCTCCATGGTGAAGCCCAACTCAATAATAGTCCAAATTGATCCCTAGAATATCCACACTATCCCTCTTTGTGTTTTTCCTCCTGAACATTTCCCTAGATTTTCATGCATTCCAGATTATCTACTTAAATTTTAAAGCAGATAACTCAGAACTCAGTGTGTTCTTCAGAGTATAATTTGACCAGTAAGAAAGAGGTCCCATTTATTATTCTCTCTCTCCATATTAATGCAGCCTAGGATTATCTTTTTGGCCACCACCTCCTATTGCTATTGCAAACTTAGCCTCTTGTGGACTAAGAGCCCAACTTTCTCCATGCTCCCTCCAATCATTCCAACCCAGTCAAAACACCCATATTTTGCTTTTACTTAGGTGTCCATACTCTCCCCTATCCATCTCCTTCCTCCTCAGTTTCCAGCTTTCTCTGTAAGGCTCCATAGTGTAAGCTTTTCCATCACCTGATTCATGTCTCTCTTCCTCTCTTAGGCAAATTTCCTGATAATTTCCCATTCTGATTTGTAGCCCTCTCGTGACTTTTTCTTCTGCCTTCTCTGGCAACTTTCTTCATGGACTGACTGAATATCACCCCGTGACTAAAGAGATGAGGAAATAAGCTGACAATGCCAGAGGATGCCCTAGTTTCTAATAAAGGTTTCCTAGACACCTCAAGCCCCAGTATTAGCTTACCTGGCGTTCCCTCTGCAGAGACTTGTGGGCAGAACAAGTATAGAAGTGGAATGGAGAGGGCTGAATAGGTCCACACTGACTCACACACAGGCCACTGATCATTCAGACAGGTCTTTCCTGAGGTGCTCATCAGACTTCCTTCTCTGATTCTGAAAATCTCCATTTACTGGTGGAATGGCATAGAAGATACTTTCTTACACAGTCACCATTGTTGACACTAATTATCCTAGTGACTGAGTATCACCAGGAGCAATAGTAACTGTAATTCTGTAATGCTTTTGCAATCTGTGCTCAGATTTTGAACTCCAGTAGTACACATCAGGACAGATTAAGTAATTAAACTTCTTTAACCTCTACCAGTGGGCCTTTGAATCATGCATATGCTTCCTCTGCCTCTAAACATATATCTGAGCCACTGCTCATCCCAAAATGGCAATGCAAGCTTGGGCAATAAGAATTTGCATTAATGTGACCTGATTAAGAAGCTACATTAAGGGCTCCTGGGTGGCTCAGTTGTTAAGCGGCTCCCTTCGGCTCAGGTCATGATCCCAGAGTCCTGGGATCGAGTCCCACATTGGGCTCCCTGCTCAGTGGGAAGCTTGCTTCTCCCTCTCCCACTCCCCCTGCTTGTGTTCCTGCTCTCGCTGTCTCTGTCAAATAAATAAATAAAATCTTTAAAAAAAAAAAAAAAAGCTACATTAAATACTAGTTTAATCATCAATGAGTCCAGAGTTGAAATAAAATCTGCTTTGGATTTTCTCCTATTTTTAATCACTTAAGGCACGCTCTTCTTAGCTTTATACCTTCTTTCCTGATTAATAAAATAAGAACTTTTTCTAGCACTGGCATTTTTAGAATAAGCCCCTTCTTAACTGCATGAATGATTCTTCAGCAGGAATCATAGGGGTTAGAATAAGGATAAACTTGACCTGGGGCGCCTGGGTGGCTCAGTTGGTTAAGCGACTGCCTTCGGCTCAGGTCATGATCCCGGAGTCCCTGGATCGAGTCCCACATCGGGCTCCCTGCTCAGCAGGGAGTCTGCTTCTCCCTCTGACCCTCCTCCCTCTCATGCTCTCTGTCTCTCATTCTCTCTGTCTCAAATAAATAAATAAAATCTTTAAAAAAAAAAAAAAAAAGGATAAACTTGACCTGACATGGACCAATCTTGAGGACAGAGGAGCACCATCTGTGAGAAATAGAACATCCCCCTAACCCAGGGGACCTATGATGTCAGCTGAGGCAAACTGAGGACACTAAATATATGGCATCAGGGATCCCAACCCAGAAGACACATCGTGAATCTCTTCTGGAAACCATTACTCAAGATGCCAATTAGACTTGTTATATGCATCGAGATTAGCATTCCCAAAGGGCTTTGCTTGAAGTTTGCGTGAAGGGGTCAGGGAAATGAGCTCTTTTGAGGAGTGTTAGTCTGAAGATAACATGGGAATATCTTCTCCAAGGGCCAATTAACCATGGAGTCAAATAATCCTTAGAGTCCTGGCTTGTTTTTCATCTTAGAACCCGGATCTCTCTAGCCCCTTTCCATCCAACCCTTTTGAGAGCAGAGTCTGGGAAAGGTCCAGTCCCTATTTGCCCACAACACACTTTAGAAGGTTTCCCCATGTGCCGTATCATAGAAAAGAAGTCAAGGAATGGAGGCAGGCAGTTACCGCTAGTCTTGTCCACCCTGACTATCGGCCAAACTCCAATTTTACAGACTACATTAATATGTGAAGAGATTTCAGATGCAGAAGTTAAAAAAGAAAGTGACATATCTGTACATCTTCTTTTTCATTTACTACCATCTCACTCTCATACCCTGCTCTTCCTCTCCATTACAGGGATATGTTGAGCTATTCTTTGTTTCTCTATCTCAACTCAGACACTAACATGTCTTACTTCACTGAGCTTAGCTTGTTGTTTATTCTTTGAGTAGATTCAGTATATCATTACTTTCTTCAAAACATACTGTCGGGGAACCTGGCTGGCTCAGTCACTAGAACATGTGACTCTTGACCTCAGGGTTGTAAGTTTGAGCCCGACATTGGGTGTAGAGATTACTTAAAAATAATTAAAAAAACAAAAACAAAAAAACGGGGCGCCTGGGTGGCTCAGTTGGTTAAGCGACTGCCTTCGGCTCAGGTCATGATCCTGGAGTCCCTGGATCGAGTCCCGCATCGGGCTCCCTACTCAGCAGGGAACCTGCTTCTCCCTCTGACCCTCCCCCCTCTCATGTGCTCTCTCTCTCTCGTTCTGTCTCAAATAAATAAATAAAATCTTTTTAAAAAAAAAAAACAACCTACTGTCCAATACTTTTACCTGGTACTCTCACTCACCAGAACGTAATCTCTCTCTAAGTAAAGCAGCTATACCATTTATATACTTCATAATTTATTTGAAGAATATTTGATGAGCATCTGCTCTGTCCCAAGCACTGTACTGGGAAGCATGTGTACAGTGATTAACATGCAAGCATAGTCCCTTTCCCCATGGGACTTACAGATAAAGCAAATAAATAAATATATCATGTTGGACTAAGAGTTTGCACTAATCAATACTCTTGTGACAATACTCAAGTGACATAAAACAAAACTTATACTATCTTAAGGGAAGGGTATGGAATCATAGCAATGAATGGGATAGAACTGATCTCAGAATCAGCTAGATTCAGGAACATGAATACTGTGAGTGTCTTCTTTCCCCATCTTTCATCTTGGCTTGGCTCTCCGTGTTGATATTCTCTCAGGCATTTGTATATAGAGGGTATACATACAGCTGGAAGCCCTGATGCCATCCTTACAGCTTCACATCCAATGCCCCACTACCTCCAAGTCAGAAAACTCCAGGGAAAAATCTGTTCAACGGTTTAGCCTGGTGGCCACCCCTGGGAGCAATCACTGTGTGCCAGAGCCTGAAGTAAAATAATGGACTTGCCTGGGACAGGTGCCCACCTCTTGCAGGGGTTGGAGAAGTAGGGCGGTAATGAAACCACCAGAATCACATGGATCTGGCGCAAAGTGGTATCACAAAGAAACTGTGGTTGTGAAGGTGTGACTTTAACAGAAGTAGGGAAAGAGGCCATAAAGGACAAAACAGTGCATGCCCCCTACTGAAGTGTGATAAAGAAGAATTCACTATGCTAGAGTAAAGCAGGGAGGCCACTATATCAGACTGGGTCATAAGGGAAAGCCTCTTTAAAGAAGTGGCATCAGGGCAGCTTGGGTGGCTCAGTCAGTTAAGCATCCAACTTGTGATTTCGACTCTGGTTGTGATCTCATGGCTCATAAGATCCAGCCCCATGTGGGGCTCCGCACTCAGCGGGGAGTCTGCTTGAGATTCTCTCTCTCCCTCTGCCCCTCCCCCCACGCATGCACACTCACTCTGTGTCTCTTTCTCAAATACATAAATCTTTAAAAAAAAAAAAAAAAAGTGGCCCCTAAGCTAAGATCTCTGAATCAGGGTAAGGGTTACCCAGGTAATCAAAAGCAAAAAGAGGTCCAGATAAAGGCAAAGACATGCAAAATCCATGAGTTGAGACAATTCATGGTGTACCTGAAGAGCTGAAAGGAAGCCAAAGTGACAGGAGCTACAGTGAGGAGAGAGGTAGGAAATGACATCAGGGAAGTAAACATGAGTCCAAAAAGAGAAAAAGCAAGACCTAGAAGATTTTATTCAGAGTTTTCAGAAAGCTTCTTAACAAGATAAAACTTACCTGTTTTAAAGGTGGACATATACCAGTGGATAAAGACAGAGGCAGGGTGGCCATTTATGAGGCTCTTGCTCTATTCCAAGGAGAAGCAATAGTGCTTTGGACTAAGATTTTAGCAGGGAATAATTTCAAGATATTTTAGGAGGATGCCATTAACATAAGCTGATGATTTGTTTAATGTGGGAGTTGAGCATAAGGGACTCCCATGACGGAAGACTAATAAAACTGCTTTTTAAAACAGGTTTAAGGATATCATGTGAAATTATTAATGAGAGAAACTATTAGGACAAAAATATACAACTTTTGGGGCGCCTGGGTGGCTCAGTTGTTAAGCGTCTGCCTTCGGCTCAGGTCATGATCCCAGGGTCCTGGGATCGAGCCCCGCATCGGGCTCCCTGCTCCGCGGGAAGCCTGCTTCTCCCTCTCCCACTCCCCCTACTTGTGTTCCCTCTCTCACTGTGTCTCTCTCTGTCAAATAAATAAAATCTTTAAAATATATATATACATATATACACAACTTTCTTAAATTTCAGATTTAAAAAGTAGATAGATGTATAAAGATTTAAAAAATAAGAGCAGAAAACATATGAATACAATGTGACAGAATTCAGAACAAAGATAGCTGGGCTATTAATAAATGTAAACAGACTTCCCCAGTTATTCACAGAAGAGGATTTTTCAAATTAGGTCATAAAGCAAAATTGAACTCTATGCAATATATTTATTTTTTACTGTAACTCTAAAAAAAGCAGTTCATAAAGCTAAAAATAAAAGGAGGGCAGAGCTAAATGAAAATTTTAAAAACTAAGGATTCTGATCTTACCATCTGAAAAACTGGAATTCAATTCCAAAGGCATGAAAAGACAAAACACTGTAATGTTAAAGGGTATTCTCTGAAGTGTATATAACATCAAAATTTTAATCTGTAAGAGACTGTAAAAGTGGGTGCAATCTATAATGAAAATATGAGCAGTTATGAAATGTAAGCAACAACACTTAATAAAGCAAATTATAGGAACTAGAATGAGATAGAGAGTCACTGGAGGAAGAAAACTTTAATCCACCTCTCAGTCTAAGATTAGGGGGACAAAGACATAAGTCAAGACTAGAGAAAAGAAAGATACTTAACCAACATAAGAAGATAGCTCGAACCTGGGTGGTGCAGTGATTAAGCAGAGGATTATAGGGTCATGGACCCTGAGTTCAAATCCCAATTCTACTACTTACTGGCTGTGTGGTCTCAGGCAAGTTACTTCAACAACTGTGCTTATTTCCTCTTGAAAAATGATGGTAAAAATAATACATACTTCACAGAATTTTATGAGAATTCCATAAGTTAGTATGTCTAAAACATACAGAATGGTGTCATGGTGCCTGTTACATAATAAGTGCTATGTGATTGTGAGCTATTATATCCACGAGAATAATGAATGTAAGCTCTATGAGGACAGTGATTTGTCTGTTTCCTTCATTGATGTATTCTCAGTACCTAAAACAGAATTTGAGTTTTATGACCACACATAATTTTATATAACCACATTACCAAGAGTGGTTAGGAAAAAAGCCAAAATTTAACTATCTGTTTGAATTTCTCTGCTCATACAACCACGTTACTTTATGATAATGTATATTACACATTTAAGTTACACAATTTAGAATATGACAAGTTTTAAGGTACTCAAGAATTCCAATTAAGTAAAATCTGTTGTCTAGTGAAAATAGAATCAGAACAAGAGGGAAAGAGGGTTCAAGCATGAGAAAAATCCTTTTCTAATTGCTTAAAACATACTTGTAGGGACATCTGCTTCTGAAGATGGAGTAACATGCGTGAGATTTTCCCTTCTGCCTGAAGTAACAAAAAAACCCCACAAAATGTATGAAACCACAATTTAAGACATTGGACATCAGATTTTTTAAAAAAGGACAGTGATCCCTGCCTTAAGAGTTTCAGGCTTCAGTGCTGGAAGAAACCAGGTGGAACCAAACCAACTCCCTGATTTGAGGAGATGAGTAGATAGTCTGAAAATTCCAAGCTTACTGGAATTTGTAGAGCAGAGTATGCTAGAGAGGAAAACTGCATAGAGCGTGAAACCCAGAGATGTGCAGGAGCTTTCCCTTGGGTATTTAGCAGAGTATTGACCAGCATATGTGCTTGATGCAACTACCCAAGACTTGGAACAGTACTTGGACCTGGACCAGGCCAGGAGTAGTGCCTGTTCCCACCACCAAACCAGAAAACCATTTTCAGAGTATGGGTGTAATATGCAGAAGGGTCTTGAGGAACAATTAGACGTAGACTACACCCTGCTAAGGTTCTGCCCAACAAATCCTAAAAAAAGATCCAAAAGGATTCAGTTCCCAATACCCTAATTGCGTTCCAGAACAAAGCTTGAGGGTAGATTCAGATTTTTCAAAAATGTACACTGTAAACCCTATAGCAATGACTAAAAATGTTTTTAAAAGAAGTATAAATAAGTAGAGGAAATAAAATGAATTTTATTTTTTAAATACATAATAAAACTAGAGGCAGAAAAAGGAAGAAACTAATAACTAACAGAACGATATTTTTTATCCAACTATATCAAACAGTAACTTTTTTTTGCAGTTTTATACCTTTATTTGACAATCAGCGGTTAGTTCTCATACACATTATCTGTAGATTTTTGAAAGTGGTGACAAGTACATAGGTAAACAACATAGAGCTTGTTGGTGAATCTTCATCCTGTTTTTTTTGGACAACCACACATGGACATGGTATGGAACATTCCTTATTCCTTTGGTCCAGACAGCTTTGTTGAGCCTGGTGTCAATGGGCACATCTTGAGTTCCCATCTCCTTCATGGAAAATTCCCAGATTTGCGTGCCCAAGGGGCTCGCTTCTCGAAACCCACGCCGTGGATGCTTGTGAATGTTGATGACAGAACAGCCCTTCTTCTCACCACCCTTCTTTGAGAGAGTCATTCTGCCGGGCCCAGGTTGGAAAGAAACAGTAACTTTCTTCTTTTTTCTCATCACAGCAAATGCGCTTTAATACCCATCACCCATCTAGCCCATCCCCCACCCACCCCCTCCATCAACCCTGGATATGTTCTCTATCATTAAGAGTTATTTATGGCTTGTTTCCCTCTCTCCTCTTTTTCCTTACCCCCTTCCCAAATGTTCATCTGTTTTCTTTCTTAAATTCCTCATATGAGTGAGATCAAATGGTGTCTGTCTTTCTCTGACTTATTTCTCTTAGCATTATACTCTCTAGTTCCATCCATATTGTTGCAACTGGCATGATCTCATTCTTTTTGATGGCTGAATATTCGTAATACAGATATATAGATACATACACACACACAACACCACATCTTTATCCATTCATCAGATGATGGACATTTGGGCTCTCTCCATAGTTTGCCTATTGTTGATAATGCTACTATAAAGATCAGGGTGCATGTACCCCAAAAACGGTAACTTTAAAGGTGAATAGTTCAACAGTTAAGAACGGAAAGACTAGATGATTTAAAGGGAAAAAAAAAAAAAAAGCAAGTGGGTCTCCAGAAAAATAGAACCAATAGGATGGATCAGTGGCCATTGGCTCACGTGACCATGGAGGCCAAAAAGTTCCATGGTGCTGTCTGCAAGCTGGAGATCCAGGGAAGCTGGTGTGTATGTAATTCAGTCTGAGTCCAAAGACCTGAAAACTAGAGGAACTAATGGTGTAAGTTCCAGTTCGGGTCCAAAGGCTCAAAAATCGGGTGGCAATGGTCTAAGTCCCAGTCCAAGTCTGAAGGTCCAAGAACCAGGGGTACCAATGTCCCAGGGCAGAAGATGGATGTCCCAGCTCAAGCAGAGGAGAAACTCCCCCTTCTGCTGCCTCTTTTTCTATTTAGGCTCACAGTTGTTTGGATGATGTCTACCCACTTTGGTGAAAATGATCTTTTTTACTCAGTCTATCAGTTCAAATGCTAATCTCTCCTGGAAACACTTTCACAGACATACCCAGAAATGTTTTACCGGCTGTCTAGGCACCCCTTAGTGAAGTGGACACAACCATTACAGAGGTCTACAAGAAGCCTATTCTGATAGACTTGCAGCTTCAGCTCCTACATGTAAAGATTTTGGAAGTCATAACTCATATCCTTACAAGAAAAAGATGAGAAAACTGAAAACCAATGGCTTTTCTTGGACCTGTGGGAGAACTAAGGTTGCATGACAAATTGCCACCCCAAGATCTGGATAGACAGGCAAATCCAGAGAGTCAAAGCTGAGATCTCCTTCCCTGAAGCAAAATCCACCGGAGCCATAAACTTGTAGGAATACTTAAATAGTAATTTTGATGAATTACTGGAGGTTGACTGTGGGCTAGCTTAAGGGTGAGAAACTTCTGGGAGCTGCAGTGTTGGAGGGGTGGAGAGCATATATTCGTAACAAGAGCCTAGTCTCCAGGGGAGATTTTAGCAGAGCCTTATCCATGGTCACACAGTGTACCCACCAACTTTATATAGTGCAAGTATAGGCTGAAATCAGAGATAGTCAAGATCATCTGGAGAAAGTGTAGGATAAACAGTCGTTGCCAAACTGTCTTCTGGGAAGTCTTAGTTGCTGCTTCCTGAGCTAGTTTCTGTGGTGAAATAAGCTTGAGAAGTCCTGTGTAATAAATACCTCTCCAAGTAAGTCATAATGTATTAACATAGTAAAGACTCAGAGAAATCCCTAAGGAACATTGAAAACTATTACAAGTTCATTTTCAATTCTGTTTGTATATCAGAGGCATCATAAGAGTTTATTTCATTTTTAGTAAATATACCTGTGTCCCATCCCCTACTTGAGAGGGGCCAATATCAAGACTTAAAAGAGGCAAAAAAAATGTTAATAGAGCAAGAGAATAATATTTTTCTCAGTAAAAGATGCAAGTTCTTTAATAATGATGAAGGAAACCACAATGTGTGAGCCCAAAATAGGTCTCTTTGGCACAAAAATCATTTTGAGCTGAAGGCAATTAAGAGCAGCAAACCCAGAAAAAGCTCCCCTTTCCTGCCAAATGGAAGGATATAAATTCCCCTTTTACTGGAGACCGCACCAACAAGGAATCTGCAAAAAACGTTTACTCCATTAGTTTCCTCACATGCATTTACCTTCCCACGGTCTGCCACTCTTTGCAGGTTGACTGTTTTTCCTGCCATTTCTCCACAAATGTATTGTTCTTTTAAAGATACTATGTAAGCCACAATTCTAAGCCTCCACTTTGAGTTACTCTTCATTTTAGGTTTTTCCTGCTTGGTGCATGCTGCATGTGTTAATAAACTGTTTTTCTCTTATTAATCCGACCTCTTGCTAGATCCCAGCTGAAAACCTAAGACTGGTAGAGGTAAAGTTTGCCTTCCCCACAGTATGCAGGTGGGCTCATGAAGCCTTGAGAAAGGAGGAAATGGTTTGGAATCACTGCCACCAGAGATGTAAAAGGAAGTCAAGGGATGAAAAAATGAAGTTGTTCACCAAGCAGCTCAAAGAACCCACCTGAAGTCAGAGAGCAAGACTCTGTAATAGAACCAGTCAACCTGGCTCAACAGCCCCAGAGGAGGATGGAGGAAAGACAGTGATGAGTTTCCCAAGGACTGGAAATGAATAAGGCAGATACTGGAGGAAGTCCTGATGGGCAAGTGTACTGGTTTCCTAAGACTCCATAACAAACCACAAACTGGGTGGCTTGACATAACAGAAGTTTATTGTCTCACAGTTTATTGTCTTCCTTGTAGAAAGAGGATTTTGATTTCCCTCTCCCACACCAACCTTCTGCAGGAGTCAAAGAGCGTTACCAAAAGGCCAGCAGCACAGTCTGAATACTTAGCAAGTGTGTCCCAACGTTTTAGGTGTGATGTTAACAGCCTGCATAAACAACGTAAGAATCGGACAGATGGGTAACAAAATGCACACTGGAGGGCACAGACCTGGTCAGGTGAAGAAGAGTCACAGTGCAGAGTAAGGGAAGATTTCCTTAACTTTCTGATCCAGAAAAGTGAGAGGTCTCAGTACTTCCTGGAGAGAAGAGGAATTACATGACTGCACAGAAACAGTCTACAAAGCGGTCCAATTTCAGGGAAAGTGAGGCAATCCTATACCCAAAGGCAACCTGAACTGCCTTATACAATAAGGGAGCGGTCATCTCCTATAATAAGGAATGTCAGATTAAGGAAATTCCAAGAGCCCAGCGATGCCAGTGAAGACCATGTTTCTTCTTCCTGTGCCCTGTCACTGTGCTCCCCTCAGCTGCTGACATCAGAAGAGGGGCTGTGTCTCCTCAAACACCTCTTTCTTAAAGCTACAGAATCTTTCCCCAGAAGCGCCTTAGAAAATGTCTCCTCCCAGCTCACTGGCCAGCACTGCCTCACGTGGGGCTGCTTCTCCTGAAGCCCAAGGATGGTGCTCCCCCGACAGTTCCGTCAGAAGAACCAGAAGAGGAGGAGGGAAATGCAGCAAGTGGCTGCCGGAAAGGCAACCAATGGGTCCGCCATCCCTGTGTGCGCACGGCACACGCAGGGAGCTGAGCGAATGGACGGTACAGACGTGCCGCCTGGACCAGTATGTATGAAGAGAGAAGAGGGCCGAGGGATGCACGTCCCTGCGCCGGGGTACAGGGAGAGGTTCTCGGGCAGGGGAGGAACAGCCTCATTTCCCACCAGTCACTGCCGGGATGACTAAAGATGCTAATGGACTCAACCAAAAAAATGGGCGGAGGTGGGAGACAGGACAAGAGAAGGTGTGTAGATGCGTGCCATCCACAGCGCTATAGAAGGAGATGTTCCCAGCCCCAGAATCGAGGAAAACTCCCACCCGGTTAAGAGCAGGCTCTTGCTTGGTAGGACTTACAGAAGAGCTTTTCAGGGGCCGATAGCCAGCGGAACCCCAACAGATAGCCCAGATGCCCACACGGGGGCCCATTTCTGAAGCATTAGCAAGCCCCATGACGTCCTCCCGACACACCCCGACAGCAATCTCCAGGTTATCCCGGGTCTCAACTTCCCAGTAATGTTTCCCTGAAGTGAAAACATTTTTTCCCAAAACACAGGGTAAGTGCTGAAATCTTCCCACAAACTGTGCGATCTTCCGAGGGTTCCTCCATCCGCTGATGTAGCTCCATGCTGAAGAAAACAACGGCCAAGAACTGGCCGATGCTCCATTTTTCACGTATCTCCCATCCTGGGAGAAGACAAGCTTGGGATGAGCCGTGTCTTCAGCTACACTTACAGCCACTGCAGAGAAAATGAGAGTGGCGATTTATAATGTGACAGCTTACCACCAACCCTCCTCCAGAAACGCCCCTCTTTTCCAGCTTTAGTTCCGTGTGTCTCCTAATAAGAACTGTCAGGGATGAGACTCCCCACTGCCTCTCGACTGACCCTCGGCTGGGCCTGGCAGGCCATACTGCGGCCTCAAGCACAGTGCAATCTTCATTTCCCTTCTGCTCTAAACGACTAAGACCTAAAAACAGGGAGCTCATTGTTTCATGGCCCCAAGTCTTCACAATCAGCATCAAATTGGAAGAAACATTACCAGATTCTGACTTGTTCAATCAGGACCAGACCAGGACGGCGGACAGGATGGTGCTTTGCACTGGGACACGGAGGTAACACTGTTAACAAGTTTTCTCTTCACTGGTTCCAGTTGTTCACTGGGCATCTCCACAGGCCCCTGACAGATCACTCAAAATTCAACTCACTATCCTAAGTCCCCTTGCATCCTCTTGGGACTCCTACCCCTTCCCATGCAGACGTCTTCTTGTCTTCTGCGTTCTCTGATCTGTAAGAGCATTAACTCCACCTGAACATGCACACCTTGACATCTTAAGGTTACCTGACTCCTCTTTCCCTCTGACCCTGGATGGGTTATTTGTCACCAAGTCCTGTCAATCCCACCTCTGAAATACCACTCAGGTTCTCTGCCTCTTCTCCGTCCCACTGCCACCATCTTCACTCAGACCTCTGGCATCCCCCACTTTAACTGTCTGACTTCCTCCGCGGCCTCCCTGCCTCCCAATCCTCTTCCTCCCAGACTCTCCATGTCTCTCTAGTTTGTTGAGCCCTATTTTTTTAATTGGGAATGGATGTTAGGTGCCGACGAATGCTTTTTCTGCATCTACTGAAGTGATCATATAGTTTTCCTTTTTTTAGTTTGCTAATGTGAATTACACTGATTTTTCAAATGTTAAACCAACCCTGCTTTTCTAGAATAAAACCCATTTGGCTGTGACGCATTATCTATAAATATGTTTGGTTCAATTTGCTAAAATTATCTTCAGAATTCTTCTGTGTCCATGAAGGACATGGTCTATAGCCCTTTTCTCTTGTAATGTCTTTGTCTGATTTGGGTATCATGATAATGCAGGCTGCGTTAGACTGAATTGGGCATTGTTCCCTCTTTAGTTTTTTGTTAAGAGTTCATGTAGAATGGAGATTTATTTCTGAAAAGTTTGGTAAATTCAGAGAAACGGGACATCATCTTTTTTTTCCATCTTAAGTAATATGTCCTTTGTCTCTTCTTGCATCAAAAATGTCCTCTTTACACTGGTGTTTGGTGTAGTTCCTCTCATATTTCTTGTGCTTAGGGCTTGTCAAGCTTATTGGATCTGTGGACTAATGGTCTTCACCAAATGTGGAAAATTTGGGGACATTCTTTTTTTTATTTTTTTTAAGATTTTATTTATTTGAAAGAGAGAGAAAAAAAAATGAGCGGGGGAGGGAAAAGCAGACTTCCTGCTGAGGAGGGAGCCCAACACAGGGCTTGAACCCAGGACCGGCCCTGAGATGAAGACCTGAGCCGAAGGCAGACGCTTAACCCAATGAGCCACCCTTGCGCCCTGGGGCCATTATTCCTTCAGATGTTTTTCCTGTCTCATCCGCACCCTACTCATCTCCTCAGGGATCCCACATACCACACATAAGACTGCATGAGATTGTCCCCCAGCTCACCAAGGCTCTTTTCATGGTTTAAGGTTTTTTCCTGTGTGTTTCATTTTTGTAGTTTCCGCTGCTGCATCTTCAAATTCGATAATCTTTTTTCCTGCAACATCTAATCATCTATTAATCCCAACCAGTGTATTCCTCTCAATCACTGTAGTTTTATCTCCAGAGGTTTGACCTGGGACTTTTTTTAGATCTTCCATGTCTCCAAATACTTCTTTATAGGATAGTTGTATTAAAGTCCTTCTGTGCTTATTCTAACATCTGGTCAATCCTGGGTCAGTACCAATCAATTATTCTCATTATGGGTCATGCTTTCCTACCTCTTTGCATGCCTAGTTATCTTTGACTGGTGCCAGACATTGTGAATTTACATGGTTAGGTACTCATTTTTTAAAATCTTAAGCTTTGCCCTGGGATGCAGTTACTTGGAAATAATTTGATCCTTTTGGATCTGGTGTTCATGATTTATAAGGTGGGTCCAAAGCAGTGCTCAGTGTAGGGTTAATTATTCCCCACTAATGAGGCAAGATTTTCCCAGGAATTGAGAGTTTTCTAGTCTGGCTGCTAGGAACAGGCATTGTTTGGGCCCTGTGGGAGCACCAGGAACTGTTCTTTCTAATCATTTTGGAAACGCCCTTCCTCAGTCTAAGGTAGTTTTTCACAAGCATTTGCTGGTCAGTACTCTGCTAAATACTCAGGGGGCACCTCTGTAGATCATTGCCCTCTGGATGGCTCTCTCCTCGCCAGTACTCTGCAAGCTCTCACTGCTTAGTCCTCCCTGGACTCCGCTCCATTCCTCAACCTGGCTCCACCTCCACTACCCTCCCCACCCCCCACGATGGCCTGGAAGCTCTTTTCAGGCTGGAGGCTGGAGCCATCATAGAGCTCACCTCATTGTTTCACATTTCCTTGTCCTGTACTGCCTGATATCCAGGGTTGGGAAAACAGTTATTTCATGTACCGTGTCCGTTTTATTTTAGTTTTTTTAGTTAGCTAAGTTTCAGGCTGAAGAGTAAATCCAGTCCCCAATACTTCATCCACCACATGGTTCTTCATCAGGTGTGTGCACGAGAGAATTGCCTGTGTAGCATTTACAACACCTACATGCCTTGGCAATTCCCTGGAGATCCAGTAAATTTATCTTCAGACCTTCCTATATTCACCATCTCAACCTCAGCTCCTGTCTTTCCCACAAAGTACCTTATGGTTTAGTTACATTGGATACCTACTCCTCCATTTTCTCCACAGCTTAGCTCATGCTGCTCCTTCTGCTTACACGAGTACACCTCCATTTTCCACTTGGCAAACTCCTATTCATCCATCAAATCCCAGAACAATGTCACCTCTGTGTGGAAACTTCCCCACTTCACCCCCAACAGAGCTCTTTCTCTGACATTCCATAATATTTTACTCATACATTGATAAACAGTAGATCCCACTATGTTACAGTAAGTGATCGGAGTCTGTCTCTCCAGTTTACTTGAATTCTTAGAAATAGGTCTTTTTCTTTCTGTATAACTAGCACCTTATACACACAGTGTGTGTTAAGTAAATGCTTCTTGAATAAAGCATATATCCATGTATTCTAGTTATCACCATTTTTCCTGACCCTCCCACTAGCTGCATGTTCTGTTTCCTCTTTCCTTTCTAAAGTTTTCTCAGTGCTTATTCTCTTAAAGATTTCTTGCTTACCTTGGAATCGCTTCAGCATTTCCTTCATCATTGGTATCTGGCACACAGTCTTCACCGGTAGAACTTCAAGGGAATAGCTCACATCCTGGTTCTCACTCCTAAGGAAAGTACAGAAGGCTGCTCTTAGGAGACAACTCAGGCAGCCAAGGCCCCCAACTCCCACTGAAGGTTCCAAGCCCAAAGCCCAGACCACCGCTTGCCCATTCCCCCTTGCGAAAGTGAGCGGTGGAATTCCTTCCCCACTGACTCTCAGGTGTGCCCAGACTGTTCTCTGGAGCCCAGGCCTGTTTCCCCTCCACTCAGGCCCCCATGAAAAAGCAGCAGCTCATACCTGGTCAACACATCTTTTGGATTCTGTGAAGAGAAGAAAAACATAAGCGAGTTACGTCCCCTCCTCCCGAGATCTGGTACTCAACTTTGTGAGCAGGTATTTCTCTGTCGATCGCTTTTGTTAATGTCACGTATGATCTCATGCTGCCAAAGCCAATGGATTGAACACACGGTGTCTTTTTCTCCACATGACCCCTCTGCACTGTTTGACAATGGTAACCAATCCCTTTCTTGAAACCCTACTCTTTCTCCTTTGGCACTCTGACATAACTCTCTCCTGGCTTTTTGCCTACTTCTCCATCTGTTGTCTTTCACCCACAGACAATAACAAGTGTTGGTGAGGATGTGGTGGGAATACAAAATGGTTCGGCCACTTTGGAAAACAGTTTGGCAGTTTCTAAAAAAACTAAATACAAATATACGATAAAGCCCAGCAATTCTGCTCCTACTATCTACCCGAGAGAAATGAAAGTGTATGTCCAGACAAAGAATGGCAGGCGAATGTTCGCATCAGCATCATCATTCATAAGAGCCAAAAGGTGGAGATAACCCAAATGTCCATCAGTTGGTGAACTGATAAACAAAATGTGACATATTCTATAATAAAATACTCTTTAGGAATAAAAAAAGGAATATAAATACAATACTAATGAATGCTACAACATGAATGAGCCTCAGAAACATCATAAATGAAAGATTCCATGCACAAAAGATCACGTACTCTATGACTCTGTTTATAGATATATTTAGAAAAGGAAATCTATGGAGTCAGAAAGTAGGTTGTCTGGGGCTGGAAGCAGCAACAGAGATTAACTATATAAACAAGCACCAAGTGATCTTACTGGGGTGATGGAAATACTCTAAAACTGGACTTTGGTAAGGTTTCCGCAACTTGGTAAAATCGCTTATTTAGTTATAAAAAAAGTACCCTTAAAATGGGTGAATTATAAGATATGTGCATTATACCTCAAGAAAGCTTAAAAAAAAAAATATCAAAATGGTTCATTGCCACATGAAACAGTACTCAACCTCATTAGTCATTAGGGAAAGAATCCACCTTTTGGGAGGAGGGCAGGGGTGCCGACTGAGGGCCTGAGAGAACATTCCATACCATCCGGGACGGCTGCAGCCACAGAACTGACCATGAGTATGACTGAGCATACAGAGCGACTGGATCTCTCACACACTGCAAGTAACAGCGGCAACTGATGCAACCACTTTGGAAAATAGTTTGGAATCTTCTACTAAAGCTGACCCAACGTACACCCTGTGACTAGGAAATGCTTTTGCAGATACACAACTGACAGAAAGGTGGACATAAGTGCACCAAAAAAGACATGTTCATAACTGCTTTTTTTGTAACAGTAAAAAGTAGAAACAACCCACATTTTGCTACCAGTAGAGTAAATAGTATGTTTTGGTAATAGTAATACAGTGGAATACTCTACATTGGGGTTTTTCAACCTCGGCTATATTAACATTTCGGGCTGGATAGGTCTTTGCTGGGAGCTGGAGGTGAGGTGTGTCTGCGCATTATAGGATGTTTAGCAGCGTCCACGGCCTCCACCCACTAGATGCTGGTAGAAGCCACCCCCAAGTTGTGACAACCAAAAAGGTCTCCAACACTGCCCCCTGGGGGAGCAAAATCGCTCCAGGTTGGGACGTGCTACTCAGTGATTGGAACAAACTGCCATCTACGACATGGGCTAATCTCACAACATAATGTTGAGCAAAAGCAGCACATACTGCAAGACTCTTACTCAAAAACAGGCAAGATGGAACTGTGTGAAAAGTCTGGAGGGAGAGCAGCCTCGCAGAAAAGGGAAGGGGTGTTGACTGGGCCACGCGGAGGGTGTCTGGCAGGCTACACATGTTCTATTACTTGACTTGGCCGGTGGTTTCATGGATGGGTCCCTTGGGGATAATCTGTCAGGTTTATGATTTATACATTTTTCTCTATGGACGTTACACTTAAAATGTTTTTAAACATGTTTATTGTATTATGACAATAAAAGTGATGCTGTCTGAATCCGTGGACACAAATAATATTTAAAGGAGAAAGTATAGCTTAAAAACATTTACCAGCAAAAAAAAAGGGTCAATGTAGACGAGCTAAGCATGCCAGCTCCAGAGGCCGAGAAAGAGCGAGAGCTACAGAGCAAACCCACGAGCTAATAAAAAAATAACAGTAATAAAAACAAGAAGAGCAAATATCAATGATGTCACTGCAGCACTACTTCTAGTGGTAATGGTATTAGGGCAACCTGGATTTCCATCACTGGAAGAAGGAACTGGCAAAACGTTGTGGATGGACACATGGGTCCAACATATATGGCAACAGGAATGGATCTTAAAAACACAGTGAGTGCCTAAGGAAAAAGGCGAGAGACGGAATGCAACATGATGAAATCACTACATAAATTAAAAATACATAAACCAAAGCAATACTTTGTATTGTGCAAGAACACATTCAAATAAAAAGATAAAAATTAGGAATAACAGTATTTTTTTTATGTTCCTTTTTTTTTTTTTTGGATGTGTCTATAGTTCCAAGAATGGAAGTGACTTACAGACTAAAAATGAAGGCATAAAGGAAAAAATAGATGAACAGGGGAACAGATCAGTAAAATAAGTTCTCTTAGACCCTGAGACTCTATGATCCAGTTCTATCTTCTTTAAACATTTACCTACCTTTGCCCTTATATTGGCTGATAGACTTTTTTGTAAGCATTCTGCTAGTTCATGTGTCTCCTTGAAGTTTGAAATTCTAAGCAGATATTAAACCTATATTGAACAAAACTGTTTAAATGTGTTATTTCAAAGATTCTGCAAGAGTTTACATTTGGATATGTAACTGGAACTTCATGGCTCAAGCAAGTTGTGAAAGTTCTAGACAATTCTTGGAAATCATTACACTTCAATGGCATGTAACACCCTGCTAGAAATTTCCTGCTGAAAATAACTGGTGAGTGGGTTCCTGTGTCTCTCTTCCTTAAAGGTAGAAGAGAATATTGTCTCCTGATAAGGAAAAAAAAAAAAAAAATCATAGATTGAAGGGCCCCTTCAATGGTTCTTTCCTCTCCAGTCAAATCATATGGAAGAAAGAGAGGTTCTGAGGAATCTAAGACCAAAGGGATTATCTCAGCAGAAAAAAAAGAAGATGGTCACAAATGTTGGATTCTATCCAAAAACTGAAATAGCTATAAAGACACTTACCTGCTGAGCATATAAAGGTAAAGATTAACTCCAAGGAAGGATAATAAATTGGCTTAAAAGCCCCAAATCTAAGTGCTAATGAATTACTTTTTTTTTTTTTTTTTTTTTTTAGTAGGCTCCACGCCCAATGTGAGGCTTGAACTCTCAACCCTAAGATCAAGAGTCACATGCTCTACTGAATGAGTCAGCCAGACACTCCTAAGTGCTAATGAATTAGAATTACAACCTTTTAAAGGCTGCTGGATATTAGAAATTATTTAAATGAATATACCAATCAAAATCTGGGGCTAAGAGCAAAGTTATTATCAAGGTATGATTGCAATGATTAAAAATTAGTAAGAGGGCGCCTGGGTGGCTCAGTCAGTTAAGCGTCTGCCTTCAGCTCAGATCATGATCCCGGAGTCCTGGGATCGAGTCCCATGTCGGGCTCCCTGCTCACCATGAGTCTGCTTCTCCCTCTGCCTCTGTACCTCTCCCTGCTCATCTTCTCTCTGTCTCTCTCTCTCAAATAAATCAAATCTTTAATAAAATAAAGTAAAATCTTTAAAAAATAATAAATAAATTAGTAAGACAGATAAATTTATCTTAAAAACTACTGATACACTTATCTACTTTGTGATTTTAGGTTGCTTTGTGTTACTATTTTAACAAATTATAAATGTACAAATAAGATGAACGGAAAAGTCTCAGATGTGCTTCGGATCCTACGCAAACGACTAGCCCAAGTGAACCGAGGTATCTCCTAATACCTGAGCTCAGCATACCTAACTTTCCCATTAATTTCCTTTGAAAGGTGGATCTTTGATTCTTTAATGACAGTAGTGTCATAATTATCAACAGAGAGAAAACATTTCTTCTCTGAAACCCCCTCACCAGGAAGGACGTGCAGCTCTAAGGGCACGCGGAGTTTAGTGAGCGGTGCTAAGCCACCCCTCCCCAGCTTGTCTCACCTGAAGCAGCTCCAGGGTGGAGCTCTCGCTCTTCTCCTTGACCTCTACGATGAGCCGCTTCAAGGACGTGACTTTCTGATGGAGCTTTAACGTGTTCTCATTCTGTTTCTTCTTCGTCTCTTCTTCCTCTTTGCTCAGTCTCTGAAGAAACAGCTGCTCTTCTTCCGCCAAGAAGTGGTGCAGCTTTGCAAACTCTGCGCTGATCGTCATTCGCTGATTCTTCATCTTCTCCTAGAGCCACAGGAGATTTGCTCAGCCTTCGTTCTGCCTTGTTCTTGCTCCTCAGTGCTGTGCACGAGACTCCCCAGCAACCCATGGGGCTTCCACCCTAATCCCCTCCCCCAGAAAGGTCCTGCCTACCCTCCCCAGATTTCTGCTCATCTCTTTGTATCAGCCTGTATAGTATTAGTTCATTCTTTGTAACGTTTCAGTCTCTACTACTGACGGCAATGCCTCGTTTGTATGTTTTTTAAACTAAAATACACTTTCACATTTATTATTTAGTTTAGCCTCCAGAACACCTACAGTTTAGTTTCGTTAAACCTTTAGATGTGCACGCGTGCGCATCGTGCCTCCCAACTAAACTCGTCTCTCTGAAAGCAAAGCCCATTTACTTTCCACAATGCCGTGGACCCAAACCAACAACAATGTAGGGAGTATATTTAGGAAAAAGTAAGAAGGAGATGGGCACTACCTTACAGACATGGGGATAAAGTATGTGAAACTCCCATCCCCCAAAACCACAGGTCTCTTAAAAGAGACACTTCCTGTTCTATCACCTTATCTGCAAGGAGCCTGACAACTATTCCCAACAACACCAAAGGGTCCCAGGGGCAAGAAATGCCCAACGGCTTCTGCTGTTACCTTCCACTTGGTAGCATTCTTCATTTCCATGTCCTGAAAATATATGGCTTTCTTCATCTTGTCCTTCAGACTAGACTGAGCCTTAAGAAGCTTTTCCTGCCGGGAGAAATACATATCAGAGAAACCCTCTTCCCCAGCATCCTACTTGTTCAAGAGCTAAGTCACCTAATCCAAACAGGGAACAAGATTGAGAAAATGTTGAAAACAGTTACAGACCTAGGCATAAAAAGTATTCTGGTCTGAAATTTCATAACACTATATAGAGTCTGCCTATTAAGTTGGCAAAAAATGAAAACTGTTAAAGGAGTAATAAATACCTAATATTGGCAAGGGAGGCCTCTGACGCAACAGTAAGAGATTTTTGTAAAGAGGTGCCATCTTCAGTTAGGCAACATATAGTACATTAGTAATAAAAAAAATAATAAATTAAATAAATAAATTCTCATACAAGAAAAAGACAAGAAACAAAAGAAAGGTGCCATCTTTCTGAAGGGCAACTGAAAGGATTTAGAACCATTTAAAATGTACATAATCCTACTTCCAATAATCTGTGCAAAGAAACACTGGCAAAAATAATATGTATAGTAATGGTCACTGCAGCATGATTCACTATCCATCAATGGGGAATTATGAAATAAATTATGGTGTATTGCCACTCTATACCAATCTCAGGTAGCTCTCAATATACTGACATGTTATATTAAGTAAAAAAACTAAGCTGTTAGACAATAATATTGCATAATTCTGTTTTGAAAAGAATAAATACATACGTACTTGTGTGTGTTTGTATTTTTTTTAAGGTTTATTTATTTTAGAGAGAAAGAGAGAGAGAGAGTGGGCACACGTGAGCAGGGAGAGGAGCAGAGGGAAAGAAGAGCGAGCAGACACCCCGCTGAGCGCACAGCCCTCCACCAGGCTCAATCCCTCCACCCCAAGACCATGACTTGAAATGAAATCAAGAGCCGGACGCTCAACCAACTGAGCCACCCAGGTGCCCCTGGGTATGTGTTTGTATTTAAATCGAAAAATCTGGAAGAATATATACCTAAATAGTATTAACACTGGTTATTTCTGGGGAATAGAAATGTCTTAGAAGTTGGGGCAGGAGGGACTAAAAATTTTATAAATTTCTGTTTTGTTTGATTTTCTACAAGAGGCATATATACCATTGTGTAATTTAAAAACCTGAATGGGTGGCGCCTGGGTGACTCAGTCGTTAAGCATCTGCCTTCGGCTCAGGTCATGATCCCAGGGTCCTGGGATCGAGCCCCGCATCAGGCTCCCTGCTCCGCCGGAAGCCTGCTTCTCCCTCTCCCACTCCCCCTGCTTGTGTTCCCCTCTCGCTGTGTCTCTGTCAAATAAATAAACAAAATCTTTAAAAAATAAAATTAAAAAAATAAAATAAAAACCTGAATGATGGGGCGCCTGGGTGGCTCAGTCAGGTAAGCATCTGCCTTCGGCTCAGGTCATGATCCCAGGTTCCTGGGATCGAGCCCCACATCGGGCTCCCTGCTCACTGGGGAGCCTGCTTCGCCCTCTCCCACTCCCCCTGCTTGTGCTCTCTCTCGCTCTCTCTGACAAATAAATAAAATCTTTATAAATATATACATACATACCTGAATGAGCTATTAAATAATAAAAGGAGTCAATCAGCGTTAACAACGTGGGCTGTGGAGGGGCAGCACCTGGTAGCAGAAGGTCAGACGTGACCTCAGACGTATCAGGCAGGTTAGAGGCACACACACAAGAGGAAAACCAGCAGGTGGGGCGCCTGGGTGGCTCAGTGGGTTTGGCGTCTGCCTTCAGCTCAGGTCATGATCCCGGAGTCCCGGGATGGAGCCCTGCGCATTGGGCTCCCTGCTCAGTGGGGAGTCTGCTTCTCCCTCTGCTGCCCAACCCCCACCCTGATCATGCTCTCACTCTCTCTCTCAAATAAATAAATAAAATCTTAAAAAAAAAAAAAAAAAAAGGAAAACGAGCAGGAACTGGTAACCAAATGGCTGCAGGAGGAAGGAGTCCAGATTTAGCCCCTGGGTTCTGGCTTGACAACTAGAAGGACTGTGGGCTATTTACCAAGTTAGGAAATACAGGGAAATGAGCGGTATGGAAATGGAAGGTGGGAAATTATATTCGACTTGAATAAATTAAGTTTGAGCTGTGTTGGGGACATCCCAATGGGTACAGTTAGCAGTTAAGGGTCAAGAAAGAGATCTAAGGGGCGCCTGGGTGGCTCAGTTGGTGAAGCGTCTGCCTTTGGCTCAGGTCATGATCTCAAGGTCCTGAGACTGAGCCCACGTCAGGCTCCCTGCTCAGCGGGGGAGTCTGCTTCTCCCTCTCCCTCTGCCTCTCCCCCCACCCTCATGTGCGCTCTCTCTCTCTCTCAAATAAAATCTTAAAAAAAAAAAAGAAAGAAAGAAAGAAAGAAAGAGATCTGAGCTGCAGAAGCAGACTGGAGGGTTAGAGCACCGGCAGCAAGTGAAGCCAGGGTAGGAGTAAAATCCCCCAGTAAGAGTCTATCAAGAAGGGGATCCAGGCTGGAACTGGGAACAACTGCATTTAAGGGGGGTGCAGAGGATGAACATCCTGCCAAGAAGCTAAGATGAGTAGTGGCTGGTGAAAAACCGAGAAAGGATGGTTTCTTCTACACCAAAGCAAGAGAAAATTTAAATAAAAACTGGGGAAGGGCGCCTGGGTGGCTCAGTTGGTTAAGCGACTGCCTTCGGCTCAGGTCATGATCCTGGAGTCCCTGGATCGAGTCCCTGCTCGGCGGGGAGTCTGCTTCTCCCTCTGACCCTCCCCCCTCTCATGTGCTCTCTCTCAAATAAATAAATAAAAAATCTTTAAAAAAAAAAAAAAAAACTGGTGAAGACTGTCAAATGCTGCAGAGTGGCCGAGGGCAGCTTTCTGAAGTATGAATGTATGTCAAAATAAAAAGCTGAAAGACAGACAGAAATGAACAGAACTAAGAAATAAGCATGACTTTTTTTTTTAATTCTTCCCTAGGAGAATAATGAACACTAGTAGGTATCATTTTTCTTCTGATCGTTTACAAATGACAGTGGCTAAAACAAAGCGAGATCACCGAAAAGAGTGAAAGCTCCAAAGCTGGCGAGGGTGTGCAGCAGTAGGGCTCGAATACGATGCCGGTGGCTGTGTGAGGGGCAACCACCACTCTGGGTAAAGGTCTGGCATCAAACTAAACCTACGTCAATCCCAGCCCCAGTGGTTCTACGCCCAGATGTGCATCCACAAAAAGACCTGTATGAGAAGACATCAGTTTTGTTCCTAAGAGCCAAAAACTGGACACAGCCCAGGTACACAGTGATGGAAAGAGGGATAAACTGTGGTACAGTCATAGAATGGAATATGACACAGCAGCGAAAAGCAACAGACTACTGATACGCATCAAAAAATGGGTCAATCTCAAAATATGCTGAGCAAAAGGAACCTGTATAGACGAGTACAGACTAAATGATTCCATTTATATGAAGTTCCAGAACAGGCAAAACTAATCTTCAGTGGAAAAAAATTAGAACAGTGGTCGGGTGCGGGGAGGGAGCAGAGATTAACTGAGAAAAAGAGGGTGGAGGAACTTTCTGGGGTGATGATAATTTTTTTTTTTTTTTTTTTTTTAAGATTTTAAGTAATCTCCACACCCAATGTGGGGCTTGAACTTGCAACTCCGAGATCAAGAGTCACGTGCTCCACCGACTGAGCCAGTCAGGCACCCAGGTAATGTTGTTTATCTTGAGAAGGACTTAGGGCGCCCAGGTGTATGCATTTGCTAAAGCTCAGCAAATGTACACTAAAGATGTGTATATTTAATTGTATTAAATGTTACTTCAGAAAATATCACAAATGTTAAGTGTGATTGATGGTGTGCATGCTAAAGTATAGGAGGAAGTCTGCAATTAACTTTCAATGCCTCAAAAGGAAGTAAGAATTGATGAGAAAAGGCACATAGGTAGGTGATAAATAGAGTAAAATGCAAATGGCAGAATCTAGATGAGGGTCTACTGGTGTTAATAAAATTCTTCCAATTTTCATGTTTGCTTGGAAGCTGCATATTAAAATGTTGGGCGGGGGGATGAAATTAGGTTGTACATCACAAAACCCCCGTGCTATTTTCTTTCTAATACAATGTTGTCTAACATTATGTAATCTACTTATTACCCCTAATTGTTAACTTAAATAGGTATATAATCCTGCTACTTGGGAAGCTATTTCAAGTAATTTTATTCCTTTATCACTGATATAACTGCTACTTTGTGATCACTGTCAAATTTGACGTATATGGGAGGCCTGTAATCAGATAGCTGTTTTGAACGTGACCAAGATTTCTTTTAAAGTTTTCACTTTTACTTAATAATGAAAAGATAACCGGAGCACCTGGGTGGCTCAGTCCGTTAAGCGGCTGCCTTCGGCTCAGGTCATGATCCTGGGGTCTTGGGATTGAGCCCCACATCCAGCTCCCTGCTCAGCGGAGAGCCTGCTTCTCCCTCTCCATCTGCCTGCCACTCTGCCTACTTGTGCTCTCTCTCTCTGTCAAATAAATAAATAAAATCTTTAAAAATAATAATAATAATGAAAAGATAATAATCTTTTAAATAGAATTTTTCAATTTTTTAAAAGCCCTTAACTGGGGCGCCTGGGTGGCTCAGTCGTTGGGCATCTATCTGCCTTCGGCTCAGGTCATGGTCCCAGGGTCCTGGGATCGAGCCCCGCATCGGGCTCCCTGCTCCGCGGGAAGCCTGATTCTCTCTCTCCCGCTCCCCCTTCTTGTGTTCCCTCTCTCACTGTGTCTCTCTCTGTCAGATAAATAAATGAAATCTTCAAAAAAAAAAAAAAGCCCTTAACAATTCCAGTATGGAAAAAAAAAATTCCAGTATGCATGAAATATCCTGTATTGACTCTACCTAAGACTTCTAGAATCCTGCCACAATTGGAATCTGAATAGGACCCCGAATAAAAATGGGAATTCTGGGGACATTAGAAAACTCATTCCCTGCAATAACAGAAACTGCCACGAGATGGCAGGAGGGCAACACCAAGCAGTTCTTCAACCCTAATTCCCATGCTCTTCCTCCCTCTACACTCCGGAAGTATTGAGCAACTTCCAGTCCTCTAACATTTATCACATGTCATTCCAAGCCACCACACTGCAGAATGTGCTGTTCCCTTGACCCGAATATCCTCTCCCTACCTATTGCACTCACCCTTCAAGAGTGAGTTCACATTCAACTCTGTGAAACCATTTCTCACTCCTCACAGATCAACCTCAGACCTGCTATGTACTCCATACAAACTTGGATAATTCACTCACACACTGAAATTTTTGGCCTACATGCTTATGTCTCCTACAAGATAAGACCTATGTCTTTCTTATCCGTTTACGTCCAGACCCTAGAACAATGCCTGGCAGACAGTAGTGAGTTACTGAGGGGATGTATACTTTGTAGTGCCACTTTGCATATCTCCTGTTTGTGATCAATTGATAAAACTGTACAGCATTTTATAGTTTACAAAACACTTTAACTTGTATCATTAAACTCGTATATTCAACCAGTACTTACTAGAAACCAATTCTGTCGGAAGCCACTGGAGTTACACCATAGAAGGGGGTAGGACTACTCTGGAAAGGATGATCAAGGAAGGTCTTCAAGCTAAAAGCCAAAAAGATGTAAAGGATGGAAGGTGGGGATAGAGAAAGAAAACAGGCTTGAAACAAAAGCAAGAAAGCAGTGTGCCTGGAGCAGAGTAAGATAAACTGATTTATTCAACTGAAACTCCTTAACCCATAAAATAGGCAGGACAGATAATCTCCAAATTCAAACATTAAGTGGTTTTTCCCAACTGCTGAAGGAAGCTGGTAACAAACCCCAGCCTCGTCACTCCAAGCCCGGCTTTTCCCAAATCCTCAGTTGTCTGTTACACCTGTAGGTATGTACCTGCGCTGTCCAATACAGCACCATTAGCCAGGTGAGCACCTAAAATGTGGATGGTCCCACCTGACACGTGCTGTAAACGTAAACACAGATTTCAAAGGCCCATTATGAAAAACAAGAGGAAAATATCTCACTGATAACTTTTCATGGGGATTTACTGTTGAATGATCACAGTTTGGATAACTGGGTTCAGTAAAATACAGTATTAAAGGTAGCATCACCCGTTTCTTTTTACCACTAGGAAAGTTTTATTATATACGTGGTTCGCATCCTGTTTCTAGTGGACAGCACTGGGACAGACGCTCTCGGTTTGACGGTCTTAAACTAGGAGCTCCCAGGGCCAGTACCATGAAAATTCTATGCAGACCCTCCCCATCCCAGTTTTAAGCCCAGCCCTGAGATGTGCGTGACGCTTAACTTCTTTGCTGGGTACTTCCATGAGAATGAGGTAAACAGTACACGTTCCCGGGAACAGCGGCAGCCCCGCTACGGCCCGCTCACCCGGTAGCTGCAGAAGGCCTCGTCGATGGGCGCCATCGTGTGCGCCTGGTGCTCCCGGGACTCCCTGCACACCAAGCACACGGGCCGCTGGTCCTCCTCGCAGAAGAGCCGCAGCGCTTCCCGGTGGCGGCCGCACTGGCCGGGGGGCACGGGGCCCTGGGGCCGGCGCCGCGTCCTCTCCGTCAGCCGGGCCAGGGCCCAGTTGGGCCGCAGCGCGGCGGGCAGCGAAGGCTGCCGGCACTCGGGGCAGGGGAACGAGCCGCCGCCCGGCCCCCAGCTGCGCTGCAGGCAGCCGCGGCAGAAGTTGTGGCCGCACTCGATGGACACCGGGTCCTCGAAATAGTCCAGGCAGATGGAGCAGGTCAGGTCCTCCTGCAGGTCCTCGGCTTCCATGCCGCTTCTCTGCCCCGGGTTCGGGTCCGACGCGGGCGCTGGCGCGGCCGGCGGCCGGGAGGGGAAAGTGCGGCCCCTCCCTCGGGGGCTCGGGACCCCGTCTGGGCGCGCGCCGGCGGAGCAGCGACCCCCGCTCGTGCGCGCGCTGCGGGGCCTGAGCGCGAGCCCGGCGGCCGCAGGACTTCCGCGACGCGAGGGCGACGCGGGGGCGGGGCGAGGCGGCCCGGGCCTGGCCGCGGGGCACGATGGGACGTGGGCTGCCCCTCGGGCCGACAATAGAGATGCGGAAGCTGCTCCGGAACGCCTAGAGAGGACGCGAGGAGCCCTCGCGTGCGGCCGCTGGAGGAGCAAAGCGGGGAGGCGCTAACGAGTCTGGCCTGTCCTTCCCGCGGAGGAGGTGAGGTCCGCGTTCGCTCGCAGCAGCTCGGGGCGACTTCTGTTCTGGCGTCCTCGGCGAGCTGCCCCCCGGGCGGGCGTTCTGGGCGTGCTGCAGCCCCAGGGCCTGGAGGGCCACGAAGACCAGAGGGATCTGTGCAGCAGGGCCAAAGTGGGTGCCAAAGAAGGCGCTGGGCCCGTTAAGCTCGCTCTCCCTGAAGTCCGTTCTTTTCATTCAGCCTTCGTTCTCGGTCTCCAACCCCAAGGGCTAGTTGAGTTCTTGGAAAGGCTGGATTTTCTCCTGCCCCCGCGAAGCCCACCTATTCTCCTTGTGTTGGAGGAGTCGGGTGAACTGAAGAGCCAGTGTTCAGAGAGGCGAGCAGGAAAAGGGAGTGGTTAGCCCGCACGAGCTAGAGGGGGATGGCTGTTCACCCTGCCACCTTGATTTCCCGCTCTTTCTTTCCAAGCACAGGAGACAAACCCCAGGTAAGAGAAGCTCATTCTTAGAGCATGGGACACACTCACCCAGCGCAGATAGGGCTTTCTAGCAATTAAGTCAGGGTAAAGAGTCTAGGGTTAGATGATCTTACCGGGATAGGAGACTTCCCACCCGTGTCTTAGGTGGTTCAGCTCGCGGGAGGTCTGTGGGTATGGGATGCTCCAAGCCAGCTTGGGGTGATCTAAGATGCTAGAAAGGAGCAGATCCTGTAGCTGCAGCCGCAGCTGCTGGAGCAGTTCCCGACCCTCCTACCTGAAGCGGTCCAGACCAGAGTGCCAGAACAAAGCCTGGAAGTGGAGCTGTAACTGTCAGAAGGAGCACATTATGAATAATCTGATGGGACCAGAGAGTGGGTGGAAAGGAAATCAATTTTTTTAAGTGGGAGTGGTTAAGATTCGGAAGTGTGGATACATCCTTTTTCGGTACCCAACTTGAACAGCAACCATTTTGCTATCTCAAGAAACATCCATTGAGACTTTCAACAAACAGTATGCTTGCCTATTTCAGGGAATTGTCTGTTTCCCTTCATTGGGTTTTTTATTTTATTCTTCTCACTCTGTTCCTTTGCTTACGAATGAAAATTTTAAATTCTTCTTGTGCCCCAATATCAGATACTGCCTTTCCTATAATATGCTCAGTACGTAGTTACTGAATGTCCGATTAAATGACTTGAAAGGGGGGGTTCCTGTGAACTCTGTGTTGGGGTTTTTGACAGAAGTCCGACAGAATATCTACTTTTTTAGATGTTTATACAACTAACAAATGCACTTTCTTTGAAACTTGGAATGCTGTATTGAGAAGGAATCTGAGTCTTAATATGGACCAAGCAGGAAGAAGTGCTCTCCTCAGTTACTGATTTTTGCCATGAATGTGATGTAAGCGTGTATGTGTCTATATGTCTGCCTATGTATTGAGTGGCAAACATAAGGTCCCATGACACCTTAAGGTCCTTATGGCTTCTATCCTGCCATACTCCTGAGATGAACTTCCTTCTTTACTGAAAATATCGAGGACTGCTAAGTCACAATTTTACTCATATGGAGTTTCAAGAGACCCCAAATAGCTGAACAACCTTGAGAAAGAAGAACAAAGTCAAAGGATTCACACTTCTCAATTTCAAACCTTAGTACAAAGCTACAGCAATCAAAACATGTGGTACCGGGATAGGGATAAACATATAGATCAATGGAATAGAATTGAGAGTCCAGAAATAGTGCTATACATTGACAAGCAATGGATCTGCAACAAGGATGCCGAAAATCATTATATGGAAGAAAAATGGGCTTTTCAGCAAATGGTGTTGGGACTAGATATCCACATGCAAAAGAATGAAGTTGAACCCTTATACCATATATAAAAATTAATTCAAAATCAATCAGACCTAAATGTAAAGCTGAAACTGTAAAACTCCTGGAAGGAAACTTAGGTGTCAGTCTTCACTGCCATGGATTAGGCATCCATTTCTTAAATATAACACCAAACTCACAAGCAGCAAAAGAAAAATTGATTAATTGAATTTCCTCAAAATTAAAAACTTGCACATCAAAGGACATGATCAGTGAAGTGAAAGACAACCCACTGAATGGGTGAAAATATTTGGAAATCTTATATTGGATAAGGACCTAGTATCCAGAATATATAAAGAACTCAACAACAGAGGTACAAACAACCCAATTAAAAAATGGGCAAAGGATCTGAGTAGACATTTCTCCAAAGAAAATATACTAATAGTCAATAAGCACACGAAAAGATACTCAACATCATTAGGGAAATGTGAATCATTCCATGAGATACCACTTCACACCCCTAGGATGGCTACAATTTAAAAAAAAAAAAAAAGGAAGAGAAGAAAGAAGGAAGGGAGGAAGGAAAGAAAAGAGAAAAGAAGGAAGGTAGGAAGGAGATAACCAAGTGTTGGCGAGGATGTGGATACATTTGGAACCCATTTATACATTGCTGCTGGGCATGTAAATAGTACAGCTGCTGTGGAAAACAGTTAAAAAAGAGTTAGCATATGCCCCAGCAATTCCACTCCTAGGTATTTACCCAAGAGAGTTGAAGACATACATCCACACAAAAACTAGTACATGAGTGTTCATAGCACCATTATTCATAATAGCCAACAAGTAGAAACAGTTCAAATGTCCATCAACTGAAAAATGGACCAAAATGTGTAGTAAGCCATACAATGAAATCATTAAACCATAAACAGGAATGAAGTACTGATACGTGCTATAACATAGATAGACTTCAAAAACACGCTAAGTGAAAGAAGTCAGTCGCAAAGACCACATATTGTATGATTGATTCCATTTGTATGAAAGGTCCAGAATAGAAAAATCTATAAGAGAGAAATACATATATGTAGAGAGAGAGAGAGAAAGTATATCAGTGGCTGCTTATGTTTGGAGAGGGGCATGGAGGTTTGGGGGTAAAAACTAAGTGTTGGGTTTCTTTTTGAGTTGATGAAAATGTCCTAAAATTGTATTAATAAATGCACAACTCTGTGATTATACTAAAAGCCATTGAATTGTATGCTTTCAGTGGGTGAATTATGTGATATGTGAACTCTAGCTCAATAAAGCTGTTTAAAAAGGATTATCAAGAGGGAATTCCGAATGATGACATTTCCTTTTTTTTCCATTCTTGGTCACTTGGCTGGACTCTGGTTACAGTAGATGAGAGATTCTTTATAAAAACACTTGCATAGCAGAAAGAAAAATTATTAATTTTCTAGTTGTTGGTCCCTTGGGGGACCAAATGTCTTCCCTTAGGAGTGAGCTTTCCTGACTTACCCTGGTATAATTTGGGATTCAGAAGGAGAAAACAAAACCAGGTAGTTGCTCTTTGTTGAGAATTTGAGGGCAAGGAAGAACTGAGGGGGGAAGATGTTTCTGCAGGAAGGTGGGGGGCTGGAATACCCTCAGGCAGATGGGATGGAGAGACTCAGAAAAGAGAAGCTTGATATTTAGCTTTAAATTACCTGCCGAATCATACTGTGATGTAATCATACTCCCTTCCTGTTACCCCTGAATGAGCAGCAAAACTCTCCTGTCTTTTCTGGGTGGAAACGAGGGGTATGGGTTTAAAAAGGAGGAATTTGGCCCTTCGTGTGAGTTGCTGCTGGGCTGGAGACGAGGGGACAGCTGCTGTGCACCAAGTGGAAAACAAGAATGAGCAGAAGTTGGAGCTGGCAGTGGCCCCAGGTCCGTAAGCCTCCGAGCTGCCAGTAATCGGCCCTACAGGATGTGGCTGGGTGTTTGACTAAACCAAATCTGAATGTTGAAGGACACTGGGTTATAGATGCATGGAGGGCCAGTCTGAATATGACCGACACCGCGGGGCTGGGGACATCCAGAGGTTACGGGACTTTGAAGCTGGGGGGAGCAGAGACCGTGGAACCACAGAGGAGAGGTAAGTAGAGTCACCGTGGCAGGAAGATTGCATTCAGCAACAGGAATGCCAACAGCAGCAGCATTTATTGCGCAGGACAGGGGAGAAGCACAGTTTTATGGAGGCTTCTGCCGGCTGACTCTGGAACCAAGCCCGTGAAAATGGTGCCTCTGATACCAGGCGATTCTGGAGGGAAGGCTCGAGCAGGAGTTCTCCCGGGAAATGCCTCGGGCAGCGTGGCCCGCCATGGCCCTGGGAGATGCTTCAACAGCCTCTAATCTGTCACGGAAGTAAATCCCCACTCACTGGATGCGCGGAAGAAGATCCAGTCATAGGGTTCCCTTCAGAGGTGAGGCAGGTGGCTTCATAACTCTGCAAAGTAGAGAATCAAGCGGGAGCTGAGACTTTTTCTAAGTAGGAAGAGGCCTAAGTGGAAAGGCAGGAGGTACTGACTGAGCGCCCTGGTCCTGGTTCACTGGAAGGAATCGTCAAAGTCATGGGGATGGGGTTGGGGGGGTGGCTGGGAGCAGGGGTCAGAAGACATCTGCCTAGAACCTGGTTTTCTGTTTTGTAACACATGGGAGGGACCTGCCGTGGGAGAGCATGAGGACAGAGACATCAGAAGCATGAAGAAGGAGGGACATCAGTGCCTTCTCACCTGCTTCTCGGAACTGCTCTTTGGCTTCCACCGCTGGGAAGCTATCAGTCGGTTCCTTGTGTTTTTTGGTGCTCTCTGCAGCTGGGGAGTAGTTAGGAGGAGGAGATTTGTGCTTCCAGGTCCTCCACCATCTCACCAGGCCCAGGAGTACAAGCTCCAAAAGAGTAAACAGGAGACAGAGCCCACTGACCCCAAACATGGTCTTCAGGAAGATGGTCTTCTCAGAAGGGCGGGACAGGTAACAGGTTATACTACCGAGGCAAGGCTCCCGACGACATGCAAAGGAGCTAGGCATCTTGAAGCCGTACAGATGGTACTGCACCCCCAAGGCGGCCCCCTCAAGGACCAGCCGCACCCCCAGCTGTGCCACATAGGCCCAGAGCAGCCTGGGGCTCCCCGGCCCTGAGCCATCTCTGCTGTTCTCCCCTTGGTGGAGCAGAGTCTCCTCCGTCACCTTTCCTGATTCTTCCCGGTGCCAGATCAGATGATACAGAGTAAAACCCATGTAGAGGGCACTGGGCACAGCCACCAAGATGACCTGGAAGGCCCAGAAGCGCAGGGGGGAGAAGGGATGGAAGGTATCGTAGCAGGCGGCCTTGCAGCCCGCCTGCTGAGTGTGACACACGAATTCACTCTGCTCATCGCCATAGATCCCGGTCCCACTGGCAGCCAGCAGCACGAGGCGGAATCCCAGGAGCACGGGGAGCAGGAGGTGCCCCACGAAGGTGGAATGCCTGCTCTCTTCAGCCAACAGCTGCCTCACGAACCTGCCGCACATCCTGCTAGGGAGCAGAGGACAGGAATGAGGGTGGGTGTGTTGCTCCCTGTCCTTCGGGAGGAGGGCAAGGCCACCCCTTCACTGTGAATCCAAAGATGGATAAAGCAAACCTTCTTGCTCCTCTCCAGGGTTCTGGTTGATTTATTACCAAGGCTGATGGCTCCTAATTCTAGGTAATGGAGTCATCTCTGTAAATTAGTGAGTGGATGTGGGAATGGCTCTCTGTTCTGCCCCGTTCTGTACTGTGTGGTAGAAGACCAGGCCCTGTCTGTGTCTCTCTCTTTCCCTCCCTCCCTCTGTCCCTTTCCCAAAGGCTAGTCAGAGTCCAGAGCCCTCTGAAAGCGGTTTCTTCCCCAGTTGATGGCCACCAGGCCTGGGGCTACCCCCAGGGGCACCTGAACACAATCAGGGCTGACCCTGGGGGAAACATGCATTCTCGTGCCCTCTGCTTTTCTCTGGTGCCAACCCTCAGCTGCTCACAGGTGTGAGGGTCTGGCCTCCGCTCCCAGTGCGGTGGTAAGATTGAGATGTGGTTAGGGTAGGGGGCTTGCTGTGGATCAAGTGAACAGAGTGTCAAGGCCCTCTTGAGTCTGGTGTTCTTTAGGCCCAACCAGCTTTGGAAAAGGAGAACATTTTAAAGAAAACCCAGCAGAATCTACTAAGTGAATGTAATAAGGTGTGGGGCCAAAGCCAGAGCTGACTGGATAAAAATTCGAAATTCCACCCTGCTTTGTACATTGTTCCTTGGGCTCATCTCTCCTGCGTGGCGAGAGGTCACCATGGTCAGGAGCAGACTTCAGAAATCCCTTACTCCTCCGGACAGAAGAGCATCCTGCTGCAAGCCCATGCACCATCTTTATCTTTGTCACAACACGGAGCGCTCCTCAATGCCCAGCCGCTGTGTCTCACCATCCCTGTTCAGCCCAAACTTTATTCCACAGGGAAAATAGAGACTCTTTGACAGGGAACCAGGCGGCTCCCCTCTTGTGCGGCTCCCTTCTGTAGCATCGTAGAGAAGTAGCTCTGCACTTGCCCAAGGCCACTGTCCCTCCCAGACCTGCGTCCTTGGGCCCCTCCAGTTGCATCAAGGACTTATCCACCCTTGTTTCCTCTCTGCACTTGCTTAGGCGTCGCCCTTTCCTTCTTTTTTTTTTTTTAGATTTTATTTATTCATTAGTCAGAGAGACAGAGCGAGCACAAGCAGGAGGAGAAGCAGGCAGAAGGAGAAGCAGGCTCCCCACTGAGCGAGGAGCCCATTTCGGGACTCGATCCCTGGACCTGGGATCATGGCCTGAGCCAAAGGCAGACGCTTAACCGACTGAGCCACCCAGGTATCCCGAGGCGTCTCCCTTTCAACTCTGGTAATAATAATCTGGATTTCTAACTTTATGACATGGCAGCAAATGAGACATGCCTATCTTGCCTCGTATCAGCTTCCCGATTAAAATACCCAGAAAGACGCACAAGGCCATTCAAATGGGCACTCAAGTTATAAACTGCAGTTGACCCTTGAACAGCATGGGGGTTAGGGGCGCTGACCCCTCCGCAGTCAAAACTCCGCATGTAACTTTTGGCTCCTCCCCAAAACTGAACTACTTATGCCTTCCATTGAGCAAAAGCCTTGCCAACAACATAAATAATCAATTCACACATGTTTTGTATGTCATGGGTACTATATACTGCATTCTTACAGGAAAAGTTAGCCACAGAGAAGAAAATGTTACTGAGAAAATCATAAGGAAGAGAAAATGCGTTCACAGTAGTGTATGTATATTGAAAAAAAAAAACACGTATAGGCAGGAGGGTAGGGCCGGGGGCAGCTGCAGCCCCTGGCCTCGCCCCAGGACAGTGACATTCCACGGCATGGTGGCCTTGGCTCAACAGAGGCAACTGCCAAGTGGCTCCTCAGGCAGGAACAGATGCCCCATCTGCCTGGCGGTGCACCACCAGCCAGTGGCCATCAGCAGATGCGGCCACTCGTGAAGGTGCCCGCCTCCAAGAAGCGGCCTTGAGGAGGGGTCTGTGCCCGGCAGGGAGGAGCCCAAGGCCCACAGCTGCCCTGGCGCAGTCCCAAAACCCAGGTGTCCGACCTGACCAACAACACACGGGACGATCTGCAGCCCTGCCTGTCCCAGGGCCCCCAGGGGGCTGCCAACGTCCTTGGCAGTCCTCCCTGGGGAACTCGGCAGCAGGCTCAACTCCTGCCCCAGTAGCCTTCCATTCAATCCCGTGAAGATGGAATGGGCAGTTGTAAATAAATGCCTTGTGGCTTTTGCTGTCAACTCCTTTAAAAAAAAAAAAAAATCCCCTGGGGCACCTGGCTGGTTAGGTCCGTGGAGCATGCTACTCTTGATCTCAGCGTCATGAGTTTGAGCCCCATATTGGGCGTAGAGATTACTTAAAAAAAAAAAAAAATGGACCAGCAGGGCTCAAATCCATGTTGTTCAAGGGTCACCTATGTAGATAAGAACAGGCCAGTATGCCAGACCTTGGGCAGAGAACCACATCACCATCCACCAACTGTGAGAAACTATATTTGCGGCAAGTAGCAATCAGAGTTTGAACCTCTTCTACCTGCCTCTCAGGCCCTATGTTTCTACCTCCATCATAGACTATGAAGAATCAGAAGTACATCAGGCCACTGAAAATTCTTCTCCATAAAATTGGGTTAAAATTTTTAGAAGAAATCTATTTTCAGTCCTTAGAAAGAGGCAAAATTGGCCTCATGATTAAAGATGGCAGATTGAAGATAGAGGTCAATCCCCTCTCATTCCCAAGACTCCTCGAAAACGAGAGTAGATGGATCTTTAAGTGTTTAAACCCACTACAAATGGAGGAGAAAGATTACCAGTAGCACAACGAAAACCCACTTTGAAGGCAAATCAGATTGTGTACTGGCCAGCACACTGGGTGATTCCAGAATTCAGAGGAAGAAAACAAATCATTGAAAATAAGAAAAGGTAGGGGTGCCTGGGTGGCTCAGCTGTTAAGCGTCTGCCTTTGGCTCAGGTCGTGATCCCAGGGTCCTGGGATCGAGCCCCACATCGGGCTCCCTGCTCGGCAGGAAGCCTGCTTCTCCCTCTCCCACTCCCCCTGCTTGTGTTCCCTCTCTCGCTGTGTCTCTCTCTGTCAAATAAATAAATAAATAAATAAATAAATAAATAAATAAATAAATAAATAAATAAATAAAAAGGAAAAAATAAGAAAAGGTAAATAGATAAGGGAAATCTGTTTCCTAATTTGAAAAATCATGACCACAATAAAGCAAAATCGCTAGCTTATTTATTGGGTGAGAAAACACTTGGTGACGTGCCTGGGAAAAAGAGCAGTTTCTCCATAAATGTTTAACTGAGTTTTGTTTGGAGAGATCCTGAGTTCCAGAGGACCAGAAGGAAGGTCAGCTTCCAGTGTTGGCCCTTGGTCTCAGCCTTGGCACCAGTGATATCTGGGGCCTGATCATTTTGTTGGGGTGAGATGTTTAGCAGCATTCCTGTCCTCGGTCCACTGGATGCCAGAAGCACACTTCTCCCCTCCAACCCCCAGATGTCTCCAGACACTGCTAAATGTCCCCTGGGGTCAGATTCCCCCCTGGTTGAGAACCACCGCCTTAGGAGGACAGCGGCCCATCACCACTCCAGCTCTGTAAAGCAAGACATCTGTACTGGAGCATCTCAGAGGGTTTTTATTTGATGGGACATGATGATCGGCCCTTTTCCAGGCTGCTTGCACATCCTCCCTCCACAAACCCTGTCTGTGAGGAAGCCTGCAGCCCCTCCCTGCCTGATGAGTCTGTGGGGTCCTTGCACTTAGGAGAGGCAGCCCCGGGCTCTGGGGGCTTCTGCCCTGGTTCTCCTGGAGCGTTGCCAGCCTAAAGACTAATTTGGTAAATTCTCAAGTCTGGCTCTCAGCCTCAACCTCATTTCAAAGTGCAGGCCCAGCACGCTCTAAACGCGTTTCCAGCACATTCCCAGTAGGCCTGGGATTTAACACAGCAGGCTTGGCATATTCCAATGTTGGGAATTTGAGTAATTCCTTTTTTTTTTTTTAAGGTTTTATTTATTTGAGAGAGAGAGCACAAGCAGGGGGAGGCAGAGGGGCAGAGGGAGAGGAAGAAGCAGGCCCCCCGCTGAGCAGGGAGCCCAACGTGGGGCTCGATTCCAGGACCCTGGGATCATGACCTGAGCCACCCAGGCACCCCGGGAATTTGAATAATACCTGGAGGCCCTATCTCTGGTTCTTCTCTCTCTCCTGTGCCCACCCCAGACCTGTAGCCAGGCACCTAACGTCCTCTGAGAGACTCTAGGAACTGAACTGGGGTCTCCAGAGCTCACCAGAGAGCTTTAGAGATTTGGGAGGGAGAGAGAGGAAAAAGCAGGACAAAAGGACTTGGTTTGGAGATCCCATATCTAATGCTGAGCACCCATCTGATCCTCTGCCCTGTAGCTGTTACCACCAAAACAACACAAATTCCAGGACCTCCTATAAGGTTCACACAAAATCATGCTCCATCTCCCAAAATCTTCAGACCAAAGGCAATTTCTTAAAAAAAAAAAAAACAGGGCCTAAACACAGGCCTTCCTCCTCCCTCATCCCCTGCTTTCTTGGGAGCCTGTGGTCTCCCCCATCTGTTTCAGCCATCCCCAGTGCTCTTGTTTCATTCTCTGAGACCCACATCCGCCTCCCACAAACATATCTGCAGCTTTGCCCACGGGGCCAGGGCCCCAAGCTCGAGTCGGACCAGGCGAGCTGAGGGCCCAGCATTGTTTTCAAAGCTCAGCTCAAGGGACACCACTCTGTTTCTAGGAGTGGAGAAATAGTTTGAAAATAAATCTTTGGGGAAGGAGATGGCAGGATCTGAACCCCGTTGAGATTTTAGTTGATGAAGCAATACCCGTGAGCTCAAGATTTGGGGGAGGGTAGAAAGCCCAGAGTGTGAGGGGATTTTCAAATATGTAAATAGATTTTTTTTTTTTAATTCCATCATGATTTTGCTAAGAATTTTTCTAAGCATCTCTATTCTTTGGGAGAAAAATTTCAGGATTCCATTGGTGTCAGAAGCCCTCTCAGCCAAGTACTGCATGAGGAAGGGATGTCCCCCAAGGGCCGTGCTGGACCTGGCTCGCTGCTCCCATGTCACCCCATCTGGCCTGGAAAATGTTCTAGATTCTTTTACCCAAAATGTGATCCCTGGATGCACTGGCATCACCAGGAATGCAGAATCCCAGGCAGCATCCCAGGCTTAACAAATCAAATCTAAATTGTAATAATATCCCCCAGGTCCCTGGCATTTGAGTTAGAGAAACCCAGTCTAGCACCCAGGCAGCCCCCACCCCCACTACCCCCAGGGCCCTGCACCAGCCCAGCTGCTCTCTGCCCAGCACTCACCTGGCAGCACCGAGCGGGAGCACCAACGCCGGGGAAAGAGGCAGGGCAGAGTCCTCAGGCTGGAGCCAGCAGGGTCCCAGCTCTCCCCCAGGCCCTGCCTCCCGCCACCACCCACATCCCCCCCCTCCCCTCTTCATTCCTGGCAGCCTTAGTGAAGGGTACGAGAAGGGCAGCTGGAGGAGAGGGCAGCCCTGCTAGTAAAGAATGGGCTCTGGAGAATAACCTTCTGTTGTTGGGGGTGAGGGGGACCTCTTCTAAGTGCACTGAAACAGAGATTTTGGAAATCATCTGAAGGGAGAGCAATGGCATCAGCATGTTGGGGGGTGAGGGGCAGTGCTCATCGGCAACAACAGAATTTCTATAGGTTTAAATCTCTATGAAGCCCCCCCACTCTGCTGGGCAAAGTACCCAAAACACAAGTTTACCCACAAAAGAACGTGTGTTTGTGTGTGTTCTTGGCTGGGAGGAATACCACAGGCTTCCCCGCAGCGTGACGGGCATCTGCTCCATGTTCCTCAGCAACTCAGGGAGCCCAACCGCTCTCCACCAGGCCCAGCGACAACTGTGACCCTGCCTGCACCCATTTCTGTCCCCATTGCTAGAGCCAGGAGCCCCTCCAGAGGAAGGAAGGGGCAAGGCTGGGTCAGCAGGTGGTGGGTGAGAGAGTAACCCTTGACCAGAGCCAACCCTGCACTCTTCAAGGAAGAGAGTTGGAGGGCCCCTCAGTTCCAAATGCTGCCCCTGTGGGCCTTTGGGGCATCGTTCCACCATCTTCTAGCATTTAACATTGTTATGGTGAAGTTTAAGTCCAATTTGGTAGTCTTCATATTTTAAGTGATTTGTGATCTTGACAGTTTGCCAGATGGATTTTTTTTAACCCTTGGGGCTCGTTCACTCCTCCAAGGGATTCCATTAATAAGACATAAGTTGGCACTGGCTCTCCTTGGCGTGTTCACATCTGGTCCACAGGATATATGTACGCATCCTTAGGGCCAAAAAACTCTGGGCATGCAGGCCAGTTCCAGTGCAGCCACATCTCCTTCCATTCATTTGCCAGAGAGCCTATCTCTTGCCTCTTTGATTTTTCAGGCAGGAGTCAGTAAACATGTTTGAGTCCCCCTCTCAAGGCTTGACATGCAGAGGTAGCACCCTCACCCCTTGCCCTTGAGGAGAACTAACAGCATATCTCTTTCCAAAGATACCCTCTCTCTAATTTCCAACAACTCTGATGTGAGCACAGGGCTTGAGAATGACATGACCGTTATTTATTTATTTGTTTATTTATTTGGGGTTCTTTTTCCCCTTGAAATATTTCATCTCAGACTAGCGAATCACTTCAGAATGTCATACGTGTTGTATTCTCTAAAACACTTGAAATGCCATGTTTTCCAACTTAAATCCTGTTACACTAACATTTATTCAGTACTTAAGTAAATGATGAATATTCTAAGTGCTAGATGGCTACTAATTTACTTCCCCCATGACAACCTCATGATGTAAGTCTATTATCATCCTCTTTTACAGAGGAAAGAGGTGAAGAACAGAGAGGTTATGTAATTTATTCAAGGTTGACCAGCTAGTGAGTGGGAGAAGTTGGGATTTGAATAGGCAGTGTGGTTGCAGGCGGCAAACCCTTAAACACTACAGTAGGGCTAGCTTCCCCATTATCCAAATCAGCACCTTTGAAAGAGCTTCTGATTGTAAACCCATTGTAATTTCATACCCTCGTGAAAATTAAATCCTTTGCTTACATGTTCTACACCTCAGTGACTAACTTCACCATCCACCCTGATCCCAGCGAAAAGCTTGGGCATCATCACTGACAACCTCTCCTTCATGGACCAACATCTTCTCAACCGACCAGTGGTACTACTTCTGAATTAAGAAGGTGGTTTACTTCAAGAGTGAATTACTGCAACACCATCCTATGTCCCCACTCCTAGATTTGTCCCCCTCTAATTCATTCTGTGCATTGCAAACAGAATACTTAACTCAATTCTTAGACTTACCAACATTTACCAGTTTCTTTGCTCAGTGTTGCTCCTTGAATCCCATACCTTCCATTTGGGTTCATTTTTCCTCTTCTTCTTTTTTTAAACCATCTTAATCATTTTAAGTGTGCAGTTTAGTAGTGTTAAGTGTACTCACATTGTTGTGCAACAGATCCCTAGAACTCTTTCATCTTGCAAAACTGAAACCTTGTAACCATTTCTCCCTCCCCTCAGCCCCTGTCCACATTATTTTACCTTCTGTTACCACGAATTCCACTGCTTTAGATACCTCATGTCTAAATGCAGCATTTGTCTTTTTGTGACTGGCTTAGTTTAATGCCTTCAGGGATCATCCAAATTGTAGTTATCCCGTAGAACTTTATTACTTTTTAAGGTCAACTAATAGTCATTGTATATGTATATATGTATATACCAAATTCTGTTCATTCATTCATCCACTGATGGACATCTGGATTGATTTCACCTCTTGGTGATTGTGAATAGTGCTGCTGTGAACATGGGTGTGCCAGGTTTTCTTCTGGAAACACAACCTTCTGTAATTTTTCTACCTGGGAACTGTCGGGGGTAAACTCTTTTCATCCTCTTTGGTCTTAAAGTGCTTTCATTTTCTCCTCAATCTTGAATTGTTATTTAGTTGGCTAGAGAATTCTTGATTGATGGTTATTTTCTTTCAGAACTTTAAAGATATTATTTAACTGCCTTCTCCTATCTAGTGGGCTTTATAAGTCTTTTTTGTAAAATGCCTACAGCAGACCACATAATGCCTCCCATGATATCCACATCGTAATCCCCAGAACCTGTGAATGTTGCCTTATGTTGGAAATGGGACTCTGCAGATGTGATGAGTTAAGGGTCCTGAGATGGGGACACTCGGTTGTCTGAGTGGGCCTGATGACATCACAGGGTCCTTATAAGAAGGAGGCAGAAGGTCAGAGGGTACACAGTAGAAGATGTGAGGACAGAGGCAAGAGTCTGGAGTGATATTTGGAAGAGGCCACGAGCCAAAGAATGCAAATGGATGGGAAGGGCAAGAAAACCACTTCTCCCTGAAGCTTTCACAAGAAATGCAGCCAAAACCTTGATTTTAGACTTCCGACCTCCAGAACCGTAAGAGAATGTATTTGTGTTGTTGTAAGTCACTAAGTCTGTGGTAATTTGTTATAGCAGTGATCGGAAACCAGTACAATGGCTATTCTTCACTTTTGCCCACATTTGTATTGGGTTGCTTTTCTTCTTCTTAAGGATTTGTAGGAGGCTTTTCTGTTTTGTATATGTTATTTTTTGGTCAGTTATATATTTTGCAAATATCTTATCCCAGGTAGTGATTTGATTTTTCACTCTTGTCATGGAGGCTTTCGATAACAAATGTTCTTCACGCAGTCAAATCTTCCAATTCTTTTCTTAAATAATGTGTCCTTTTTGTCTTAAGATATTCTTCCCTATCCAGACATGATAGTTTTGAGGTGTAAAATTTTTATCATTCAGCTTTAATTTTTTTATTTTCCATCATTTCATCTCGATTGCATAAAATGTTTAAAAGTACATTTTTACATTTCTAAATGTATGGGACTTATCTGCTTATCTTCTTTATGTTAATTGCATCATGGTCTGAAAGAACATAATTTCTGTAGTTCCAGCCCTTTAATTTTGTTATTCTGTGGTCTAACATGCTCCGTTTTTTAAAATACGCCATATTTACGCTTGAAAATAATGCTTACCTTTGATTACTGAGTACAGTGTCCTCTGTAAGATCATTAGACTAGTCTTGTATTTTGCTCTATGTCTATACTATCCAGTATGGTAACCATAAGCCACATGGGGCTATTAAGCATCTGAAATGTGGCTGGGACAATTGAAGAAATCGATTTTTAAATTTACCTAAGTATAATTAATTTTTATTTAAATTTAAAAACTGAAACCCCATAAAATATTTTTCTGTTAAATACAACTTTGGGTTTTTTTTTAAGATTTATTTATTTATTTTAGAGAGAGAGAGAGCAAGGGGAGGGCAGAGGGAGAGAGAAATCTCAAGCAGACTCCCCACTGAGCAGAGCCTGATGTGGGGCTCAATCTCACTAACCCAAAGGCATAACCCAAGCCACAATCAAAAATCAGACATCTAACTGACTGAGCCACCCAGGCGTCCTGACAACTTTGTTCTTTCAGTAGAACAACATTGCCTTTAACCATGCATTGCGTAAGATGTTATTGTTACATTTTAATGTAAGTATCAAGCTCAAGCATGTGCATTGTTCCTGGTAATTCACCTAAACCTATTACTGATCTGGTTAATGCCAGTAGATTGATTCAGTTCAATGATTTAATTTCCTACTTACCAATGTAACATTACAATGCATTTATTAAATATTTTATGCAGACGGCATAAGTTACAGTGATACCTATGTAAATTACAGTGGTAATTAATTGAAGTACTTTTTTATTTTAATTATAACATAATTAAATTATTTTACTAGTTTAAAAAAAATTAAATAGGGAGATGCCTGACTGGCTCAGTCAATGGAGCATGATCTTGGGGTTGTGAGTTTGAGCCCCATGTTGGGTGTAGGGATTACCTAAAAATAAAATCAATCAATGAAAATAGGGATAAATTTTTAAATTTAAAATGAAGGCACACTACTAATACAGAAACAAGTGGAGATAAAGAACATAGCTAGCACTGTACGTAAATATAGGGAACCAACTGATGTTTACCAGAGCGGGGGATGGGCGAAACAGGTGATGGGGATGAAGGAGTGCACTTGTCTATGGGGATGGGCACCAAGTGTTGTATGGAAGTGTTGAATCACTATATTGTACACCTGCAACTAACATAACACTGTATGTTAATTAACTGGAATTTAAATAAAGCCAAAAAAAAAAAAGAGTAAAAAAAACTAGCATTGTGACCAGAAAAGGAGAAAAAGAGACCGGAAAAACGTATGTCTCAGTTTTACAATTATTGGCAGCTAGAATTCCCTGAGGTGAAGCAAAATTTAAAAGCTGTTTGTTCTAATAAAGAAATTAAGGTAATAGAGTTGACTATATTAAGAGACACTT